GTTTCAGACAGGGTTACCAAAACTCAAATAGTCAAAACTCCAGCAACACTTGCAGTATAAAGAACTGTATCATAAGGGCGATGTGTTTCGGCTTGGGCCTTCATCAGGTCATACAACACGTTGCAAAGAAAATGTAAAAGTTCTTTGTAACGTATGCACAAAAAACAGTAGCCTATAAACTGAAATGATTGTGGCCTGAAGGTAACACCTGCATTATTACAGGCCCCACCTTGAAGAGAGGCCCTGAGTTGTAATCTAATGTTAAAGCCCTTTTTTCTTTCAGTGTATCGTACGTTTACATGTTGGATATTCCTAAATACACTCATTTTTAACCAGTTACCACAAACTCATCACAAATGACTTACTTATACATGCACAATGCACTGAGAGTGAGAGAAATGTGGGAGGTTAAGAGGGGCCCACAGCTCACTTTTTCCCAGTGGCTCCCTAGGGGGTTAATACAGCCCTGCCATGGACAGGTTAGAGTCTCTGACAGATAAAACAACAGTTTCTTTGTCACATTTCTTTTGAATAACAAAGATTTAAATGAGTTCAGGAATATTCATTCTGGGGACTCAAAAGTCAGATGGAAGCTTGTTTTCATCTGTGGTCATGGCTGTATTGTGAATGACATCTGGAGGCTCCTGGGAGCAGCTAAACCTGGTGTGTCCCAAACAACCCGGTGCACCCACAGACCTAGCAGACAACTGACAGGATCCACCACCTTAGTCAGGACTCCCACATCCTCAAGCTCCTCTCTGGGATGGAATTTTAGCATTACACACATCACCATAGTGGTCACTGCTGTGTCCCTCAACAGGAAGTGACATGGCACATGAGCCAAGTTGTGAAGCATTTGAACAGCTTCTGTCTGTTTTCACAAATCACAGTTCACAGAGACTAGGGTTTTCTGTGGCTTCTGACAGACGGACATACAGGCCAGAAAGGATGTGGACTTGGCAACCAATGACGTCCTGTAGTCTAAACCAAGAAGATAGCCTACCAATATTTAACACAGCTAACAGAGATTGGAGATTATTTGAAGACCAGTGAATGCATCCTTGTTAAAGCTGAGGTTTTCATCTGTTGTCCCCCTTATAGTAAATTAGAACAAAGAACAAGGCTCCTGAAAGCCTGCTATTGCCGGATTATCTGAATAACTGAAAAAAATAACTATTGTTTGTGGTGATTATATTTGTAATGACAATGTTTCCTTCTCAATCTACCCACTGCATTCCATTGAAATGATTAGGTACTGGTGTGTTTTGAGCTGCAAACTAGGCTCAGTTATATTATTGTACAGTGATGAAACCAAGCGGGAACCTCCGGGTCTGAAAAGGGAGGCGTCCCTTAAACCTGCATTCTATCGAACAACCAGCAGGGGGAGACTCCTCTGGTTGCAAAAAGAAGTCCTGCTCCTTTAGAAATAATGGCAAAATGACCGTATTTGTCACCTGATTTATTACCTCAGTAAACACTTTCCTAATAAGTTTATGGTCTCAATCACTAATTTCATGTCTTCTTCAATGCAACATGATGTTCATTTAGTAAATTATGGTCCCATTTAGAGGAAAAGTATGCTTCAGGGCGCGACTATCTTGAGATTGACAAGTCGTTACCATGGTGATCTGTCAATCAGGTCAAGGTGACTCGTACCCACGGTACTGTGTAAATTTAATCAGTACCGTTGAAAGAGCAGTTGGCTCCATCATCTTGTCCAAATATGGTCACAGCCGCAAAAAATCAACATGGCGGCGCCAAACGGCCAAACTCAAGGCAGTCCAGAGTGACGTCACGATGACTACGTGCGCTTCTTTTATACAGTCTATGGATGAAACACAGCATTGCTGTCATTGATATTTCTTACCAAATTTATTGAGATCGGCGTTAGCAACATTATTAGAAGCAACGTTACATAGATATTTTATCTTAAAATAACAGCTTCAAAATCATTTTGATGGTACACTGACTTGTGACGGGGGAATGACATCTCCATCATTATGTAACATTGGAATCCTGGGCAGGAAATCTATTGTGACAACAGCATAATGCTTTACAGCACACATCACACAATCAAGACTCTTAAGCAAGTAAGCTATAAGAAAAAGCAAAAAGTATATAAAAAAAACAACAGAGGTTGCGAAGAGACTGAAGAAGACGTCGGAGGAAGCAAGTAAGAGAAAAAGAGAAAGAAGAATAACGACACACGCAGCACACTGTCATACGGAAGTAAACCTAGGGATTAGCTCCAGTTAGCTCATACTTGTCACGATCGTGGTGTGGAGGCAGGTTGGAGGACCCAAACGCAGGACACAGAGTGGAGCAGGTATAGTTCAACAAGGGGTTTTAATAAACAAACAAAAGCGAGCACACTTACAGGTGAGTGGCTGAATAACAGAAATCCAAAATCCAAAAGTACAGGGAGACGAGACGAGACGAGACAAGCAAGGCTGGTTACAGGCAGAGAGTACACACACGACAGACTGGGGGTAACATGAACAATGACCGGACAAGGACAAGACAGAAACACCAGGTATATATACACAGGGACTAACGAGCAGGGCGGGAGCAACACAGGTGAAAGACATGAGACTAACGAGGCAGAGAGAGCAGAGGAAAACAGAGAGACTAGACATGAAAAGCAGACTATATAACAGATACTGGACACAAGACAGGACAGAACCCAAAACTCAACATACCAAGGCAGATACCAAACTCAAAAGTAAACACAAAGGATGGCCAACCGGCAGAGCGTGACAGTACTTGCTAACCTTCCCGATTTTTACAGGAAACTCCCGTTTTTCATTGCCATCCCCCGTTTTTTTCCCGGGGTCACAAGTACTCGTATTTATGACAAATGTTCACAACTTTGTGTCCTTTTCATTGCATTTATTGTACTTTATTATTAACGGTTACCGACCGGAAAAGTAGCAGCAATCAGGAGGCGCTGTTGGCCCCCAGCTGTAATTATGTACCAATTACAAGTTACAATGGCCACTGTAAATTTCCCTTATGTCACACAATCCCAGAGTGTGCCAGTTAATGTCAAAGATGCATTGTTACTGTATAATGAACTCCGAGTAGAAACACCACCTGGGGATGGATTCACAATGTTTGCAGACAGTGAAACTGACAAAAGAAGTTTGAAGAGGCTTACTGGTAAATTTTTAATAAAGTGAATAAAAAGAATTGTTTAATGTAATTCTTATTCTCACATTGCCAATTTCATTTTTTGAGTTTTTTTGCTTGCAATGTCTAGTCCATGAAATATTTGGTGCAATATGGGTCATTAATTTTTTTTAATGTTATAAGTACTTTATTTATTTCATTAAGCATATATACAGTTACTACCCATTCAGACTCATAATGCCGTTTACTTGTCTCATTAGAATGGAGACAGACTATACCATATGATAAGGTTTATCTATAGGCATACTGATAGGCTGAATGTGCTTTGTCCCTTAAGTTATAGCAAGTCAGGGGCTTCTCGGGTGAGCGGACAACAGCAGCTCAGCAGCCTCTGTGGATAACGTTAGTTAATGGCAGAAGCGAAGAGACCAAAGAGGACGTTGACGGAGGGAGCTAGGAAGAGAAAAAGAGACCAAGCCAGAGGCCACTAGATGTTGGTGAGAGCTTTGTGAAATAAAAGGCTGCAAGACAGCCGCCAAGCTGCCCTTCTTTCTGTTGGACTAGTCAGTAATATTGCTATGTCTTGTGATGTTGCAGTTGCTTGATGTTTGGCTGTGACTATTCTTGCACTCAGTCGCTTAACAGGTGACATCAGTTAAGTCTGTAAGGGTTCAGGGTTTAGGATTTAGGGGGACATTGAGATTGGGCTACAGTCAGTGGGTTGGAGCTGCGGCTTTTAGCAATCATCAAGGTATCAAGGTCTGTTTTTTTATTTTTAGGCTATACGACATATACAAGGTTGTACACAGTTTTCAGTCCCTTCATGCTACACACACAGAACTTCGCAAAATAAATGAAACTATATGGCGCTATACAGTTCATTTGTTAAATTTGTGTCTTGGAGAAAGTAACAGCACTAACAAGATGGTGATGATGGTTTTCATCTTCACATAAAAATTTGAGCACCAAGCATCACATAATTGAGTTACAATTATTCTGAAAAGAGAATAAACAGAGAAGTACACTTAATCTACTCTCTCTAGCTAGTCTGTACTCGGGTCCACAGCAATCTTTGGGTCCACTGAAACTCCCAAAACCCTTGGACACTACAGAGAAACCAGGACATGTCTGTCCGCAGCCCACTTTGATCCATTTATACTCTGGACCCACCTGCACGTTTACAGGTGGACAGAGATTCCTGCAAATCACTCAGGCGCGAGATTTAAGACCAATTCGTTCACTCTGTTCAATCTCACTCTCATTATCTTTTCACTCAGTTACCTACTCATTTCTCACCGTGTAAATATTTAATTAAAAGCAATGGTAAAAAGCTAAAAACAAAGAAAAGAAAAACAGGACAGTAAAAGTTACAGTGCAGTGTAAGTTATCAATCTACTAGTTAAAGGCAGTGGTAAAAAGAAAAATCTTAAATATTTAATTAAAAGCTTAATGTTTGCTTTAAGCTTAAGATTAAAGTCTTACGTCTTAATTTAAAAAATCTGACAGTTTCAGCAGACATGTAGCATCAAATAACAAATTAAAACCAAACTTATCAGAAAAATGAACACTTACATAAATCAGCGTGGTAAGATGACAGAAAACACCTTTGGGAAACATATAGGCCAATTTGACGAGTAGACTTTTAGGATTTATTTTTTTTTGGTATGACCCATCCGCTGACCTACACTGCACCCAGCCACCAGGGGGCGATCAAGAGGTTTTGGCTTCACTTTCGGGGGCTGGCTGGTGACATGGTGACAGCCATCCGCACCATTTTAGAATGACAACAGAAAGAGCCAATCGCTGTCCGAGAAACAACAACGTTCACGAATGGACCAATGGTAGAGCGTAAGAGCGATCTGAGGAAACAGTTGCTGTTTAGTTAAGTTTAGGTGGGCTTATTTTGTTTTGGTTAGCTACCGGGTCTGGTCTTTTGTTAACAATGCGACAGTTAATGAGCAGTTTAGCAGGAAAGAAATATTAGTCTGTAACAGTTTTGGCTATGGGGTCACTGAAGTTCTTCGTTGGACAAGAAAATTCAGCGACGGCAGCCACAGTCGCAGAGGTAACAAGCCGAAGTCCTTTAACAGTTAGGAAGTTAGTTAAGCTAACGTTAGCAGGCTATGAATTGTCGGTCGATTTTTGAAAGCAACCTTCCACGTAGGCCAGTTTTCGTATTTTCCCCAACAGTCACTAACGTTAACTAAAGTTAGCAGTGCTGTTAAAATACCAAGGTACACAAGGCTAACATAGGTAACGTTAACGTTAGCAGGGATGGGCAATAGTACAGGTTTTAATTTCGGTTTAACAGCAAATGTTACGGAAGATAAACTGATATCCTAACGTAACTCCTGTCTGTGAACGGTATGAATGGCTGAACTATTACTCACGTTAAGCCAAAGACGTAACCTAAAGTAGCTAGTTACATGGAGCGTTTCGCACAAAGGTTTCAAACTATTACCCAGATTTTCAAGATTAATTGGATTAAGCAGTGTTTGTCTAAAGGCAATTGTCAATGGTTTTACATTCCTGTTTTGTTATTTGATAAGTGTGGTGGTCTAAAAGTTCTATTATCTTGTAATTATAAATGTACTAAACTGCCCTTCAAGCTCTCTAACGTCCATAGACAAGCTCTTGAAGCATGGAGAATAACGTTAGCTTTTAAACACAATAGCTTTCCACATTCATGCATATTATGCAACAACCAACGTGTGTTATTTAGAAACAAGTCCGGCTACATAAAAGAGTGGATCGATAAGGGTGTGACATTTATTCTAGACATGCTTAATGGTAGAGGCAAATTTTGTGAATATGAGGATTAATATGAGGTCCTTTGAATGATCTTTTTAATCGTATGTCTAAAAGTGACTTTCCCAAATCAGTTCCTATGAAAGTTAAACTTCCCGGAACCCTTGGCAGAGGATATCTGCTCAGACTCTAATAAATTCCTCATTCCAAATAAAATGAAATAAGTCCATATGAAAATTTTACATACTATCCCTGTAATAAATGGTTAAACAAGATTAAAACAGATTTTTCGCCTTTATGTTCTTTCTGTAAACTAGAAGTTGAATCTGTTAGTCATCCTTTCTTTAATTCTGGATAGAAGTTGCTTTATTAATTTTTCAGCGCATTAACACATTAATACCCATATAGAAGACAAGGTCCTGTTTCTAAATTGTAAAACTGACTCACAACCCATTAATAACTCTATAAAACTATCATGTCTTGTTGGTAAATTTCACATCAATAAGGCTCAAAACATCTGTCTTTCCATCTGTTCTGGATTGAATTACAATTCCTCTTTGATTCAGTCTCTAAATTATTATCAAACAAAAAAGACACAAACAAAAACACTTTATCACAATAATATTCACTAATAATTAGCAAATTACTTAATGAAAAAACTATTAATATATAAGCTCTAAATTACTTTATATGTCCCTAATACACTATGTTTTTTGTATTTTCTTTAATTTATTTTTTATTCATTGTGTTTTTCTTGTTGTTTATGTTTTACTGGTCTATACTTGTGTTTTATTTGTCCCTGTCTCCTTAGTCTTTATATTTTCTGTATTGCCTTGTCTATTAGTGTATATAATTTTCTTGTGATGTTGTTTATATTCACTGCTTGTTCATCTGATTGTGGTTAATAAAGTTTAAAAAAATAAAAAAATTTCGCCCAGAGGCCAGCGGTGAATATACCAGATATATGAGATATACATTTTAATGAAATGTTAGTGACAACTGTAGTCACTGGTGATATTTCTTTCGTATTTGGACTATGGAATAAAGGCTAAAGCGTTAAAGAAGTCTTGGCACGTGAGCTGTTCAGGGCAATATAAACAGACCTACTGCATCTGCTGTCACAGTATCAGAATTTGTGACCATAGCTAAATATATTTGGTTGCAAATGTATTAAAAAGAAAAGATAGATATCTATCTGACATCTGTAAATACAGTATGTGACCCTGGTGAATACGTGTGTACTGGCAATATAGCTGGCATTCTTAATCAGGTCACAGGTTATAGTGTAAAAAAACAGTAAATACCAGGATTTATTCCTTGTGGTGGTAGCATTAGTTGGGTCAAACCCATGCTGATGGTTCTGGTTGTGAAATGGGACAAGTAGGTCTGTAAGCACTAGCTGCAAATCTGGAAAAGTGACACACTGGAATCTGATCACACTGACTGGTTAGCTGTATTACATGTGAAAAAGACAGGGATCTAACAAAGTGTGTCATTGCTTGTAGAGTATTCGAGCTGCTGCAGATAGAAATGGCAGTTTAACGTGTCAGCACACCAACAGTAGCTGCTGGCTGTGTTCCGTAGTTCCCGCAAGGTCACTGTGATATCTGATTCCAGAGGCTCTGCTCATTTGGATCCAGACTGTTTCTTGACCGCTTAAGTCAAGTTTGTTTTCTTCAGCAAGAGAAGTAACAATATGGAAAACAAAGACATTAGTTTAGAGCTGAAGAGTTAATTGATTAGTTGATCCACAGAAAATTAGTAAACTACTATTTAGTAAACCAGTTAATAATCCCGTAGGAGAGACTACATTTTATATATACCTTGTCCTTGATATTTAACAGCTTATAGTAAAGGTAAATGTAGTAAAATGTGATGCAGGATCATGTTGGGGTTAGCCTTTTTAAGCCCAGCACTATGTGTGTGACAGAAGGCCTTTCTCATTTCTCAGTCTGCAACTCCTCGCCTCTCGTCTTAGTCTCTCCCACCCAAGATGCCTTGGCCTCAGGATTTCATTTTAAAGCGACGTCAATTAAATATGACGTCTGTCATCATCTGTTCATTGCTCTGTTATTCTGGCTGCGCACTAGAGGATCACTGGGCTGATTTGGGGTCCGATTCGCCTCTCTCAACAATTGCCGGGGCGTTCCCAAGCCGAAACAACATGTTGTGAACTTCCGCTCATGCTATAAAATGTATAAACCATCTTCTCAGCCATGAGCCCAGTGTAGGTATCTCACGGTATCTACTTCTGTTGGATGATATATTGTCCCATAAATAATTATGATAAACAATATTATTGTTATTTTAGGACCATTTTATGCCACTTAATGATAATATAATAGCATAATAATGCAAGTACACCCTTTCAAAGAGCAACAGACTTTTTTTATTCTGAAGAATAAAACAACAATAAGACATTTTAATTGAAATGTCCAAAAAAAAATAATATCCCAAATAAATTAAACAAAAAAAAATAAAACCTCACCACCAAAACATAACTAATAGTGACTCTCAGGCTCTATTAACAAAAACACAGGGGTCCATTGTATGGAAACATTGCCACTATTTGTTGCCACTGTTTTCAAACAAAGTTGACAGACTGGCTCGTTGACATTAATTGGCTCTCTTCTCTCATTCGGCTTAAAGCCAGAATGTTTCCACACCTGAGCTGTGGAATGTGGCTTGGAAACAAAGTCCATTTGGACTCAGCCTAATCTTACAAACTTTCTGGCTGGAGTTATACAGTGTTCGGGGGGGGGAAAAGAAGCAATTAATACACCTAATGACCTCGAGTAACACGTTGTCTTCACCTGTCGCTGTCTGCTCTCTGTGTGGCCTCCGAAACAGAGAGCAGACGAGAGGACAGAAGCAGCACGATAACAAACACACATGTAAACACTAGGTGTGTGGAAAATAATTGATTTTTAGATGCATCGCGATGCAGACTCGGACGATTCAAAATCAATTCACAAATGTCAAAAATGGATTATCTCGTGGCTAATTGATAACGTAATGTTGATTGAACGAAAAAGGCTGAACTCGGAAAGTAATAACGCTGTAATAATGCTATGTAACGTTAGCTACATTTATATGAAGTAACATTAAATAGCTGCATTTCATTACTACCTACTTACTTGGATTGTTACAAATACGTTGCTTTGAAAGTAGCAACTAGTCACACAGTGAGAAAAATACATCTTTATCCTGTTCGTCACATCGTAGCCTCATAATCGTAATGAGGTGCCTGGAGATTCCCACCCCTAGAGGTGATGCATCGAGATATCATTGACCTGATAATCGTAATCGAATCGTGAGACCCGTGAAGATGCACACCCGTAGTAAACACAATGGGCGATATCGAGGTCAGCAAATGTGATCGAGGTCATGTCCATAAATCGTACGATTAGTTGATAATGACGTTATTGTGACAGGCATAGCTCATCAGTTCATCCACAGTTTCTGTGCAAAACACAGCACACAGAAGTGCTACTACCTGCCGACGACAGTCCGCCTCCATGTTTGCTTTGTCTGAAGCTTGATCAGCAAGTTTCTGTGAGATCCCAAGTCCCTAAAAACGGCACTCTGAAATTATTCAGTATAAACACAAAGTGTTTTGTTCTGCATCTTGACTGAATCGTCTCGTGTCTGCGTTCTGAAGATTAAAATAGAAAAAATCTGTAGGTATTCTGTGATATGCCATGTTTTAAAGTGGAACTAAAAAATCTTTTAGTGTACTCCAGGCATTACAGCCTGCCACTATGATCTCTGTCAGATGAGCAGATCAACAGTCAGCACCAATACATAAAGGCTACAGATCAGATCTTTTTTTTTTCATTTATTTATTTAGAGAAACAGGGACAACGTACAATAAACATTAACCTCAAAGGGGAAGATGCATTGTACCGGGTTTTAGCTCAAGAGCTAATTTTCACCCGTATTCCCTGGGCAGGCTGATGTTAAGTTAAGATACATAAAAAACATACATGAATAATAAGATTTACAATGACAAAATAAAAATGTACAATCAACAATTGACAATCTTCACAATCCACACACATTGCACTGTTCTTAAAAAAAACAAACATTACCTCCGCTCCTCTTGTCAGCACATGTCACGTAGATGTCCTTTGATGGTTGAGAAAAGGAAGGTAGCAAAGCGTTGAGTGTTACCGTGCTCGCACAGTGTGCACGTGAAAATGATTGACGTTAGTGATATTAATAATTGTGTGAAATCTTAGTAACAGTGGTCATAATTCAGCAGCGGCGATGCGCCAAATTTGGGGAACCATATCTCTGGTATGTGCATGTCAACATTACCTCAATGAACATTTAGATAATCTATTTTTTTTACATCTGTTAATTTAAAAAAGTGAACCCAGCTTTAACAGTTGAGCATATTTACAATAAAAACCTTGTTAGTGAACTATGAGGGCAAAAAAACCCACAAAAAAACCAAACAACAACCTAAAACAAAATAATTGTTCATTAATCATAATCGAGGTAAAATGTTCAATTAATTGTGATTATGATTTTAGGCCAAATCGTCCAGCCATAATTTCACCCACACCCTCATCCCTTATTCACAGTGTTTATTGTTATGACCCAGCCTGCCCATCCACACACCACATTCAACAATAAAAACATCAGTAAGTTAAATGTCATTCAGGAATGCGGTTAGAACTGTGCCTTATAAGGCGCTACACAAACAATGAAGGGCAGTGTTTTTTTGCCCAGCAGCCTGGTATAGAGTATAATGACCTGGATACCATATTGTGCCAGACAGATTTTCCTTTAACAAGAGAGTATTAATATACTCCTTTGTCTGTTTTATTATTTATTTAATTATGTATTGATTTGTCACCGGGCCGGACAGGGGGGCAGACACGGGGATGGGGGGGCACAAACAGACAGCACAGAGAAAGACAAGACCTGCAAGAGAAGGGGGATGGAAGGTGGGGACAACAGGAAAAAGCTGTGGGAAACACCAATTGCAGAAAGCAACGAAACCTGCAATAGAACAGAGAGGGGGGCTTGGGGAGGAGAAAAACAACAACAAACAATAATAATAATAGTAAAAGACAACCAGCCGAACAGCAGCAATAAACAGCTGACATAGTAAGACAACTAAGAGAAAAATGAAAACAAGAAACAGTCAAACACACTAAATAAGCAACACAACACAGCCACAGAGCTGGAATAATAATTAATTTAAATAAGTAACTGAAAGAAAGGCATCAGGAATAATTCTACCAGGGACAACCTAAATTTGTTTGTGTCTATGTGTGAGACTGTGTGTGTCTGTGTGCGTGTGGGTGAATGTGTCTGTATGTGTGTGTGTGTACATGTGTGCGCGCATAAGCCTGTTAAAGAATGTAGGTGTTAGTGAGAGTCGGATGCCACGACTGTGCCACACCTACCCCAGCAACAGGCAGGCAAGAACCCCAGTAGCCAATAGGGGTGGGAGAAAGAAAAAATAAATAAATAAGGCAGAGTTCAGAAGGGCACACATTTGTCTTGCTTCCGCCATGGGCTGAATATTCCAGCTGCATTGGTGTGCTGAGATCGATTTCTGGGTCACAGGCACAAGGAGGGAGTAGCAAGGAGATGAAGAGGCACCTAATAGAGGAATAAGAAGAGCCCGGGATTGTATGTTTGTGTTTTTACAGGCCAAGTTGGTGTGCCAGGGAGTAAACAACCAGAGCTACATCTGTGAGTCGGGTCACTGCTGTGGAGAGACACAGTGCTGCAGCTACTACTATGAACTGTGGTGTGAGTAACCCACCTCTTCTTTATTCACATCTATTCTTTATTGTTTGAATGGTTCCTCTTCATCTACAACATATATGATAATTAATTACACTTCCAGTATTTAGAGTTTCAACAGCTTGTTGCACTGACCAACGTGCAACAAGCACGATGTAGCTTCATTTTTCAGCCCCGGAGTTTGCTGCTTGCCCCAAAGGACACAGGTGTGTGGTTGAGCGAGCGAGAGAGGCAGAGTGATGGTGAATGCAAGCAGTGAATAAAGGCTGCGGCCTAAGACCAAAGGAAAACGCCTGCATGTTTTTACCCAAGCGGGAACCTCTGGGTCTGAAAAGGGAGGAGAATGCGGAAAGCCCTAAACCTGTATTCTATCGAAGGGCCGGCAAGGGGCGTCCTGTGGTCTGGTTCAATTAGAAATAATGGCAAAATGACCCTTCTTCTCACTGATGTAACACTTTCATATTGAGTTTATGGTCTCAGTTGCTTCTTTAATACAGCAGGAGGTTCATTTAGTAAATTATGGCCCAATTTAGAGGAAAATAGACCATTTATAAAGCAGAGTATACTTTTGGGCGGAACTCTCTTGTGATTGATAAGTCAACCATGGCAACCTGTCAATCAGGCTTGAGTGACTCGTACCCATAGCACTGTGTAAATTTAACCAGCGCCGTTGAAAAAGCTTATTAGGAGTTGGCTGTTGACTTTCTCTGGTGAGTACATTTAGTTTTAAACCTCTTGTTCGCTAGACAAAGTTATCAGCGCTGTTAAAATGACAGTTAATGTGAATTACAGACGCACCTTGTTAAGCAAGCTAGCCAGCTCCACACACGGCCGTTGGCTCCACAGTCTCATCCAAATATGGTCACGTCCGGTGCCGCAGATTGCAAAAAATCAATATTGTGGCGGCCAAACTGCCAAACTCGAGGCTGTCCACAAACCAGCGGGTGACGTCACGATGACTACGTTAACTTCTTTAATACAGTCTGTGTTTTTACCCAACTGCTGTACAAGTGTTGCAATGACAATCAGCTTCACCTACATTGAGGGGAAAGGCCTACTATACCTGTAGTGGTAATACGCCAACGCCGTTGTGTCTGCTTCCAGAAAGCCTGCGTGCGGTCTAGCACCACACACTGGGGCAGCAATATGCTGGCAGTGTGTGGTAAAGTGTAAAAAGGCAAAGTCTGCATATTGACGGCTCTACTTTACTGCTCTTCTTGACGGCAGTATTGCAGGATCTTTGTGTGAAAGGGTTGGTGTTTGATAAAGGTCAGGAGTGGTACCAGTTAGGCGAGTGGTGTCTAATCTCTCACTCACCATCTGCACTTTTTGCACTGTTTGTGCTCCTGCTTGGCTGCCTTTTAGTGTTTTTCGCTGATATTTAATGTGAAGTTTGGCTTATTTTGTCAATGAAACATATTTAAAATTTTAAAAAGTGTTCATACTCATCAGAAAATATAATTTTATTTGCCAGTACAGAAACTCAAAATTTGACAGTGACATTAAAAATACTTTGCCCCATTTTTTTCAGCATATATATTAAGTGTGTTTTGATACATGTACTATGGGCTCCCTGCAGGGTTCTGGTTGGTGTGGACTCTGATCATTATCCTGACATGCGGCTGTATTTGTCACCACTGGCGCTCCAAGCAGCGATTCCAGCAGCAGCGCCGGCAGAACGAGATCAACCTCATCGCCTACAGAGAGGCTCACAACAACTTTCACCTACCACTCTATCTCAGTAAGGAATCCCAACATGTACCTGTCTGACATTCTGCCGCCTCTGCACAATTCACACAGTTAGTCTCCATCTCTCAGACACATCTGCACATCATAAATGTTTGTAAATAGAAAGGGAAGTAAAAGATTCTAGCTGTCTGAGCAACACATTGTCAATCTGAACTGCCATCCACTGAGCTGCTGACAAGTGGAACTCATAGAACCAGTAGAATGTGCACTATTAAGATTGACGCTGATCCAGTATGGGAGTAAATCCATGAATGATATCAATATCATTGTAAATACACAGACTACAAGTCAGAAATATATAATACACTTTGTAAACACACAAAGATCTACAAATACAGAAGATTCAAAATCCACAAACACATCATGATCCACAAATTTGTGTCAATACTCTGAAAACACATGCAAAACAATCTACAAATAGAATGTGACCCACACACGCAGACAATTTTCTATTTATTCAGATTTTCATTTCATTATGTGTATGTGCATTTTTCACTGTTTCAACAATCACAAAGTCTGGTTTGGTCGAAATAAACCCTTAATTAGTTAGATGTGAAAAGGCAGCAACGTTATCCTTCAGGATAAATGCACCCGTCAAAGTAGCTTACGTCACTAACAGCCCAACATGACAACATTATGGAAAGGATCCTTTTCCACTGTTCCAACAATGACAACTCTGGTTTAGTAGAAATAAATCCTTAATTAATGATGTTAGATGAGAAATAAACAGCCGTTGTATTGCTCTCCTCAAAGCCAGTGGCTTCACAGCGAGGGACTCACATACACTAACATGTACACGTAAGCCAGACTGGCTACCAAAACAAAGCACAGAGAAACTCAGACGACAAGACACACAGAAGGAGTGTGACGTTACTCTCTGTTTAGGACTCCACTATATCTTTACAGGGCAACTAGTTGTTTGCTGCTAAATTAATGTTCAGAATGATCTCGTATACAGAACCTTTAAGGCCCTGTTTGGTTTGGCATCGCTTAATATGTCAGAGCTGCTCTCCTCTAATGACCAAACATGCTGTCTGAGGTCCTCAGGCAAAACTGTGCTCCAAAGTCATGGCTAAAAAAGGTGCATTTGCTGTAAGAGCCCCCTGCTCGGGGAGATCAGGCGTGCTGATTGCTGCCACATTTTAAATCACTCCTCAAAACACACTTGTATAAAGCTGCTTCCAAGTCTCGATTCTGATGCTTTATCTTGCTGTTTTGGTTTTTCCCTATTTATTCGTTCATTTTCCAGGGTCCAGGCTGGCTGTGATGTTGTTCTTTATGTGCTGAAGGACCAGTTTGTCACTTCAGCAGAATGGGGGTGAATCGCTCCGCATTTGCTTTTTACCGTTACATGCTTTCTTCCAGGCTAAATCAACACTTTGTCATAACACCGGTGGTACACAGGATAGTTTACCACCACATGACTTTTTATGTTGACTGTTTTCACTCGACATCATCTGATTCTCTTTGGCCTGACAGGCTTCATCACATAAACCATTATTGTTGTTTTTATCCTTACGTGGAGTTTATGTACGAGTCTATGTTGTGCTGTTGAGCTGGCCGTTTTATGGTGTTAGTGGACTGCATTTAGTTAGCTGCGTTGTTGTCGCTGTAGTCTCAAAGAGACTCGTTAGCACGCACAGGGCTACATCCTGACTCGGTAGCTGTTCCACGCAACAGAGAAAACAGGCGTGTGCTTCATTTCTGAGTGAAGTTAGAGCCTATTGACAAAAAGGCAGCAAAAATTTGATTTGAGTGAAGTAAAGTGATTTCATTGAAATACTACATGTAGCCCCTTAAGATATGTTATGTTAGATAGCAGATATGTTAGCTAACAGTTGCTTGTACACATCTAGCAGACACAGAGCAACATCATCATTAATTTGGAGTCGTGTTGGTCTCCACCAAGTCCTGAAGAAAATATCTCCCTCTTTAGCTGCCAAATGCTCCACTATGTTCACCAGCTCCTTCACCAGGTTGATGAGTTTGCTTGCTGGAAAACCAAAACAATGAGCTAAAAGAGATCAGTGTGCCTGACTGGGAATGACTGACATACTCTGTATTGTGTTATTCTCCAGGATTCTTACCCACCTATCTGCTACCGGCCTACGATGAAGTAGCTGACCGCCCAGTCACGCCTCCTCCCCCCTACACCCCTCTTCAGTCAGCACCTCCCCCCACAGACCCCCCTGAGGAATCTCCATGCCCCAACTCGGCTGTTTCCGTCCCTAGTGATGTTGATGCAGCGCTCCATGCTACTCCAGAGGTCATGCAGACCCACCTTGAAAGCGCTTACAACCCCAACAAGGACTCAACGCCGGGCAGGTACCGGCGCTTCACAGGAGATTCTGGGATTGAAGTGTGTGATTGCCAGGAGCTGTGGGATCAACACGGCTTTTTAGAAAGAGAAGAAGAGGAAGCGGGAGCGGAGCAAATGGAGGAGCCATGTGAGCCCTGTGTTCCCCAGACCTTTGATCACAGTCATATTAGTGATGCAGTCATTCATGAAAACACAGATGGACAACAGAGTGGATACAGAGGCAAAGTCTCGTAGGTAATCCAGAATAATGTCTTAATATCTGCAGTCCTGGAAAAAAAACTGCGGCAAATGCAATTTTATACCTTTGGAGCTCAGGGTTTTGGTCTGTTTGTACATGTGTAACTGTGTGTGACAGGCCTGGAGACAAATGAAAGGTATGACTAAATACTTCAACAATGTACAAAAATTGAAAGCTACTATTATGAAGAGAAAGTATGTTTTTAGCCAAATTCCTCGCCTCGTCATTTTCAAGTTAAAATTTAGACAGTTGCTACTCATGTTGATGAGCTGTCTGCTTTGAAAATTTCTCCTGTCATGAGGCAGCACTGATATTTGTGTTTTTTCATGTTTACTTACACCGTGTCCTAACTGAATATGACACGAGCGAGTTTGATTGCACTGTTGGAAAGCCCTAACTGGACGCGAGAGACGTGGTGTGCCTTTGTATTTCTTCCTGTCGCTCGCGTTCCCGTCGCGCTGCATGGGCGAGAAATGGTTGCTCAATGAAGTTGAAATGAGTTATCTATGCAGTGGTGGCAGCTGGCTGGAGGGTGATTGCCATGAATCTGAAGGAACGCAGCATGTTCAATGTGTCACGCTCTCCCAGCGACAATGACACCCCCAGATACAGCTGGTAGCAACGTCTCACACTCAGGTACAAAACACAGGTGAGCTGGCATTCACCTTTTATAGTGAAGTGAAATTAATGTCACAGAGCGGTGACAAGATTTGTGGCAAAGGGGTTGGAATCAGAACCCAAATTCGATATGAACCGGATTTGATAAATAGAATCGGATTCAGAATCAGAATTGATCCAACTGAATTTAGATACCAACCCCAAATAGAGACACTGTTTCTAAACAACGTCATTTGTTCTTGGTTCGTTCTTATATGCTGATATTGATAAACTGCATCAGTAATGAGCTTAAATCAGCCTGCTGAGCTAGTGGTAGCTATCTCTTTAATATCTCAGGTTGTAGTTGTCCATGTAGGGCTTTGTAGAAAACTCTGAACTGCAGCTGAGCTGATGACAGAGCCATTGCAAAGATGCATTTTGTAACCTTTAAGGACAATTGTCTTATGATTGGAAGTTATTATCATATTGATTCTGACCATTTAAACATGCTTGCTCTGATCAAAAGTATTTAAAATCAAGTCAATTCAAGAAATGCACTGGGTGTGAACTTACAGGGCTGTCACTTTGTCTGAGTGACAAACTACAGGATCACTCGGAGTGCAAACCAAAGCCAAAGCCTTCCAGCAGCTAGCTGGAAGCAGTCTGTGCAATAAAGCAGATTACACTGTTTAACCCTATTGCAGTAAGGCATTCCCCTTCTATTCTGAGAATAACTCATATCAGGGTTGATATATCCATCTAGAAAAACAGTGAAACAGGTGAAATAGGGAACTTACTGAATTTTGACAAGAGCTAATTGAAAAAGATGTCGGAACAACAAAGGCGGTGTCATCTCTGTGGAGGGTTGTTTTCCAAATTTTAGAAAAAGCACCAGTTAGTCAAGTGTGACACTACAGGGCTTCCTGCCCTTCCAGAGCACCGGCTTTGTTCTTAACAGCCTTTTGGTATCGTCAACCAGGACAGGTGTGAACTGACGAGCCAATCAACATTTTTGAAAAACAAAGTATGAAGACAGTAAATGTGCCTACATTTCTAGTGAGGGAAAACGAGTACATGCAGAATGTTGCAAGAAAACTCCTATTGTGCTGAAATGTTCTTTATAAAGTCTTTAAAAACCACGAGCATGTTTGTACACTGCTCCAGTTCTTTAGTAAATGATGAGTTTTCAGCGCCCTGTTGATGATCATTAGACCTTGCTTGAGTCTTCAGTCACCTGTCACACTGATGTTACATGAGGCATTCTTTTCTGATACCATAGTGCCATAATGTGTAGCCTTTGAGTAGAGAATATTTAGGTGAACTTAATTAAAGCTGTGGAGTCTCTTTGTCTAAGAGTTGATATCTGAGTAACCCTTCAGTGTACTCAATGATACATTCTTTGTCATTTAATTAATGCCATATTATGCAGAATTTGTGTTCCTTGTAGTTTGCCAAAAGGTTCTGCACACACCTACACACATCTTAAAATCTTACCATCCGTGTGTTTATTCTTCTAGGACACACTACAGGTTTGTGTTGGATGTAATCCATAAGTGTGTGTATACACAGGGAATGAGTGACCGTGGTGCAGCCCTTTATACACTCCGTGTAGACATGTCTGGCTGTTGGGAGGCTGACAATAAAACCCAAACCTTACACTGCACTGGGGGAACTTTCTCCAGTTGAGTCAGTCGAGAACTTTTCCACATATGTAGCATTGAATTGTGGTGTGCAGCACCAGGTGCTTCACTATATGTAGATTTGTATGCTCTTTATTAAATATTTTTCTGTCCATTTTGTATAAATATGGTTATTAAAAGTTATGGAGAACACATGGCCACATTGTCTTTTTTCTGTGAGACTTAAAATGATGAAATATGATGATTTAATACAAATGTAATTTTTGAAAATGATATATCATTACTATACACTACATTTGTGGCTTTCCTGATGAAGACCCTGCAGGTCGAAACGTTGCACTAATAAAAACTAAATAAAAGGAGCTTTGAAACTGTGTGTGTGGACAGCCTCTGCTTTTCCTTTGTTGTTTTTTTGTCCTATACCCATCTAGGCCTGGATTTGCATTCTATTGATTTGTAGTTTTTTTTGCTTTACCTGGAACATCACAGCCAACTGCTTCAACCAGATTGTGACTTGGGTATAGGTGCTCAGCACAGTCCACCACCACATTCGGACAGGTTCTCAACCTGAATCACTGGCAGAGTGGAATAGGTTTAACACTCAGTATTTGTGTCAAATCTTCTGTCAAGAGATCTCTTTTATTCATTTCCTCATGGACCCATTGTTAGTCAGACATGTTCCTAGATACAGTATCTCACAAAAGTGAGTACACCCCTCGTATTTTTGTAAATATTTGATTATATCTTTTAAGCATTTAATTACTGAATCGTTACAGGGATTAGAATAGACTATAGATTTTTACTGATGGATCAAAGTTTCCACAAACAGATGCAACAGGGTCTGCGGTTATGGTTCTCAGTTACCAGGTGGAAATTGCCAAAAGAACATCAAATTATTTGAATGTATAGACTGATGAGCTGTTTGCTCTGCTGATGGCATTAAAGTGGGCTGAACAGGTGAGATCAACCAAATGTCTGTATCAGCACTCACAAGCAAGGGAGAAATATCACACTCATGTGGGTCCCAGCACATTCAGGTATCTCAGGAAATGAAGAAGCGATCAAAAAAGGAATTGTGGAAATTGATATTAGACTTTCAAAATTAGAGGAGAAACCCACTGTGGAGGAAAAATACACTGGCAACAGCATTGGCATGCATGACACAGCAAAAGGAGGACATCTAGTCTCAACCCCAAAATATTGAGACCATGGTAAGAAGCAGGGGACCTAACAGGAAAGAACACGTAAAAATAAGCAAACTGAGACACAGCAACCTAAACAGTACCCTTTTCATTATGGGAAACATCCAGCACGTCGTCAGATCAGTGTTATGACAAAGAGACAGCAGAGCTATAAGATACAGAACAGAGGCAGAGTAACGTTAGGAGCTGAACAGTGCCTGTGTGGTTGAGCTGCAGGACTAATTGTAAAACACTGAGGGAGAATATATCCAGGAGGAGGCAGTAATGTCACGTTAAGGGTGCTAACTAGTGTAAAACCAAAGAAGAAGAAGAAGAAGAAGAAGCAGAAGAAGGGGACACTTAAAGACGGTGAGTGGTGTTGTGTCTTTTTCAAGTGTCAGTGTTATTTATTTTATTTTTTTACGAGTGCTGTAAAGCGTGTTTTAACTCAAATATATAGCTGCCTGTCAGCGCGTTGTTCTCAGACAGTTTATCAGGGTGCATCACTTTAATCCTGTAATGTCCAGTGTTGGAAACCACACGGTAACAATATCAACATCTCTGGGATGTTAACTTAGCCGTTAAGTTAGCTGGTTAAGTTAACATCCGGGCTGTCTGAGAGAGGTCGCCTAGCCAGATGATGGAGCAGTTACTGTTACCTTTCCAGTCCACAGAGCTAACTTTAGCTTTAGACTCGACGATTCTTTTCTTGTTGGCCTTGTGTCAAAGTCTGTTTGCAAATCTGGCCTGAGTTTGATATGGCCCAGCTGAGACGAAGAGCATTGTTAACCCGTCTGAGTTCATTAGTAACTTCGCTTTAAAGTCTAACGTTAATAAGTAACGTTATTCTCACCAAAGCGTAGTTTTACATTAATTTCTGCTGGCTGTAAATGCTGTAGCTGTATTTACCCAAGAAGCCTCATAAACAAAGAGTAAATAACAGAGTGGCACCCGCTGTCTGTGTGAGTGTGTGTTGTGGCTTTAATAACAGGGTGCCCTTTTCTCACCAGCGACACTTTTAACGGTTCGAGATGACGACTTCATGGAGCGACCGTCTGCAGAACTATGCCGACCTACCAGCCAACATGGACGGCGTGGCCATGAAGAAGTACCGACGTGAAGCTCACCACAGGTACGTGTCTGTCACACCGCAGCAGAAAGCGCCGCTGGAGTCCTCCACAGGGACCAGACCTGTTAGTCGGGTGTGTGTTTGTTTGTTCACTGTTGGGCATTTGCACAGCATCGGTAAATGCTGCTGACCTGTGATTAAAAACATGTTCACACATTTCAGCAGCTTTTAAATGCAGATGTTTATTTGTGTACAGAAATGCGTTGAGTTTTAGAGACATGGACTCAGGCTTTGTTCATGGATAAATGAGTAACTAACTGTTGGCTGGCTGTTGACATCTGACATTAACCTGGATTTTATATAAACAAACAAACAAACCCTCAAAATTAATCAAATCTATCAGCTTCTAAAAGTTTACCCCTGCCATGAACCCATTTTTAGACATGGCTGCTGCTTTCCTTTCAGGCAACAACAGAGCAGCGTTCTTCTCATGGGTTTCCTAACTTGCAACGCTTGGTAACAACGTACAAGTTTAGTTGAATACCATTTAAATTTTTACTATAAAAAGTTACAAAATATGCAAGATAAAATGCACAACTAACATTTCCTGACTCCTGGATATGTGAAAAATACCTCTACCCCAAACTAATTCTCCCAACAGTTTTAATATCCATAAGCCGTCCTTCCCAGCCGTCCTTAAAGAGTAACTTAACACCAGGCTAGAAAGCAGTGTGGACTGCCCTCTGCTTGGGGGGGGGGCTTACCAGAATTCTATAGATTGGCCATTGTAACATTATTTGCATATAATTTCAATAATCAGTATAAAATCTAAGAATGAATGGATCAAAATGTTAGGATAGGTAATAATAAACATCAGGACACGATACATTAACTTGTAAAAATATCACTAATATGCACTTCAGTGCATAGTAAAAACCTTTATGGACACACATGAAATGCATAAATATCCCAAAATGGCCAGAACAGTCAATATGACTGTCACAAGAAAAGAAAATGAAAATTTGCTAAACTGCAAGAACTGATTTTGGGGGCAAACACCACGCATCATTGACACTTGTGGATCAATTAGGCACAGTCAACACAGGTAATCTACCTTCCACGTGCTGCTCCCACACTCTACCTTGTGACATTGATCACAAAAGTCCTGTTTGGTTTTAGACTGAAAGCTTTCTTTTCTCCTTGGATTTAGTCGAACCTAAAGCTAGGTATTCTCTTTAAAATAGCAAAGAGTTGGTAGGAAACAGTGACACATCTTCAAGAGCGGGATAAAGGAGTAATATATGATATGATACACCGTCTATAATGCATACGATCAATATGACTTCAAGGTAGAAATACTCGGCACTCTTTTGTGTTTTGTAATTTTAATAATAATAGGTTTTAATAGCCTGCTTGGAATAACGGGCTTGACGTGACAAAATGCAGCTTCTATTTTTAGGCTCTCTGCTCTGCAGGCAGCTGTGCGCTAGAACAGGAAGGATTTACACCATTGCAACAGGAAACAGAACTAGGACTCAGTGCCTGACTGAAGGCTACAAAGAAGTACAAATTATTATTGTCAAATAAAAGAGAATTAGTTTGAAGTAATTACAATTATCGATTTCCTTTTTAAAACATGTTTATCTTTAAGCTGCTATTTGGTTGAGCGTCTTCTGAGAAAAGTATGTTGAGCATATTAGTACTAGGAGTATTGGGCATGGAACTTCAATACTATTTTGTACCAACCGCACTGTGTCCATAGCACCGGCTATGAAAGTCAAGTAGTTGTGGCTGATCAAATGTCTGGTCAAATTCCTAATCTTCTTGGCGTAATCTTCACTTGGAACTTGGAACTGTAGATGTTAGACATATTTACGAGCACTTTTAGGACCACTTGCCCACATAGAGCTTGACACTTGAAGAACAGAACAAGCGAATAAGTGGACTTTGAGTGGAGACAGTTTTGTTGAGTGCTGTTTCCCAGCAGAAGTTTAAAAGCAACTTCAGCTTGAATTCAAATGTACAGAGCGCAGTAGCTTCTTCCTTGTGTTCCCTTTTTTTTCCCACAGTTCCCCTTTTTCAGGATTTGACCAATCCTCAGTTTCACTTCAAAGAACCTGGGAAGCTGAATGAGAAGTGTGATATCATATTAGCCTGGCTTAGTTACATTGCACACAAAGAATGGAGCCCTGGTCCCATGAAATCTATTGAAAAGTGCGCTGTAATGTCTCATGGGTCAATGTTGACTTTTGAATGTGTGAGACAATATAATATAGATGGCAGGTACTGGAGATAGATGTTGGGTATGGTTTGGATATTGTTTTTATTATTAATTTTATGCATTCTGCTTGCTATTCTACTTCTCAAAACCGGTTCTTATCAAATCTCAGTTTTGATTCTAAACCCTTCCCCAGAAATGGGATTGGCACTGCTCAGTGAAATTCATCCTTTCCTCCTCGCTCATCATCCCCTTCATGGCTAAAGCGAAAGGAGTCTCTGTACTAGAGGGGCAGCTCTGGGGAAGCATATCTAAGAAAAATATGTAGACTAGGGCTTTATAATAGTTTCTGTGTTGCACGCTTTGTTGAAGTACTGTGTCAGAAATGACGTGACGTTAGATCGGCGTGGCAGGTCCTGGCAGATAAGTAACACTTTTATAGACTGTAAAATGCTCGCTGCAGTTCAGTCTGGAGCGCCACTGAAATATACAGAAAGTTTGGAACCGATGAGCAGAATGAAAATGTGTCTTATCAAATCCATGGTTCTTGGAAATTTGGTAACGGGGTCCTCAGTTTCCATAGAATGTAGGTTATTCACTGACAAAGACCTGAGCCATGTAGCATGATATCAGAGGTAAAACCAGCAGCCATGAGTTCAGTGGTAATACTACATGTATTCTTTATTACAAAGCTTTCCAAGGGATCTGGCTCAAAACCATCCTGCAATGAGGTATGCCGTCCTTTTATTGTTGAAACAAACTGCAACTACTGACTAAATCACAGTTTTGATGTCCATGATGTGAACTGATTCTCCATCCAGTGCTCATGGAACTCCATCCATACTGACACTGATTGTGAGTTGGGTTTCTCGGTGTGGAGACGGCAGGTGGTGGTCATTGTGATTTCTCAGTGTGAGCTCCTTCTTTTGCATTTCTCCCGTTCCCGCATCTTTCCTTTAATCCTCATCCGTGACAGTCAACCTGATATCATCTCTCACACCATCTGAATAGAAACCCAAGGCCAGTGTGCAGTCTGAGCGGAGTCACAGATGATGTGTTTGCATTGTACGGTCTGTATTTCTGCAGAGAAGCAAGAATGTGCCATTCAGCAAACATTTGTGTACAAGTCTGTTTTTTCTGTGAGCTGTTGATGTGAGTCACTGCTGGGCAGCACTTCATGAAATGGACAGATGAAGATTAAAACAGGGACTGGAAAACGCACGTACAGGGAGTGCTGCCTGTTGTTATTGCAGGTTGTCTGAAAGGCTTACAATCTATACAATGATAGTCACGGTCAGGAGGCCTGTTATCAGAACTGGACTTTGTCTAGAACTGAAACAGTTAATTGATTTTTAGATCAGTCGATCAGCAGACAACTAACTGTCAGCTATTTTAATAAGCCAGGCCAAACATTCTTCTCCATTGTGAGGCTGTTTTATATCATTGTAACCTCTGACAATTGATTAAGCAATGAATCTGCAGATTGGGTCTTTAGTTGCACCCCTTGTCAACAACTATGATGATTGTTGTTTGCTTTAATTCTGTCTTTGTAGTTTATCATGTCCACCTTGCGAAAACTAATGCAATCTAATTCAATTGTCCTGTAGCGAAGGTCAGAATCACTGAAGGATATCTTGACTGTGGTATTTAGATGACATTTGTTGTTTGTTGCTAGCTGTACCTAATAAACTGGCAGCTGTGTGTGTATTTCCTAATTTGAATGAAATCATTTTGTAGACTTTACACTGTGTGTCTGGTCTTATTTTGATGCGGATGTATAGAATGAGAACGACTACTGCTGGTGTAAAAACACAGACACAGCAATGAATGTGGGGCTACACAGAAAGCTACAGTGATACCGTTCCTGTCTCGGTGTAGCACAAATGAGAACCTAATGTTGAGGTCAGACATGCAGCATCCTGATTTTGTGTAATAGATGGCTTGTTGAAATTTTCAGAGAAATTTCTTGGGACAATTCTTGAAACGTGTTCAAATAGCATCGGTCAACATGTAATCGCAAGAAATCAGATAAGCTCACCATTTGAGGGGAAACGGCAGGCTGTGGGCAAGGCTAAGAGGTTTTTATCTCAGATGCACTGGTCACTGTGTAAATAACCAGTAGGACTGCATGTCTGTTGTGCTTGTTAAGTTTTATTTAAATGACTCATGGCAGTTCCCTCAAACACAGCCTGCAATGCATCACCACCTGACCTCCAGGAAGTGTTGCTCAGTCAGTGCTGCTCTGTAGTTGTTCCTCCTCATCTCTACACTGTGAATTAGAAGAGTGTTGTAAGAAGTCTAAGATGTGCAGCATTTAATTTGAACTGCCAGCTGCCATGCATTGATTAACCATACATTGTCCTCCCCTTCCAGAGTGTTTGTCAACCGAAGCTTGGCCATGGAGAAGATCAAGTGTTTTGGTTTTGATATGGATTACACTCTGGCAGGTAAGTGCAGTTTGAGCCTTGCGGCATCAGCCTTAAAAAAAGACAGAGGTCAAACTGTAGTGGCTAGAGCCTACACCATCTGCACGTAGACATCTGAATGTCCTGGCACTGGCTGTCTCACTGATGCATAAAGTGGGATCTGAAATGGCAGTGAGTGAATTAGGACACACTCCATATCCCACCTTTCCCGTCCTGCTTGATTCTTTTTTGTCGCGCACGAGTCCTCACTTACTGATCACACGTTGGCTACTGGATATTTGTGAATTAAAGCAGAAATACCTGATGTGGCGACATTTTCTAAAACTTTCAGTTTTTTCACACAGTTGTTTTAAAAGACGATGACAGTGGCATGGCACTTGCCAGTTTGACCAACAGCCACTGTTTTCTGCATCATAATCAAATTTGGACACTGTAACCCAAGCCACTGCCACCCAGCTGTGAGTGGGGATATTCCTGGCCTGCGGGCAGTCAAGACAGTAATTCCACACACCGTGATAGGAGGAGGGGGCCCCAGGGTGTGAACGAGGTTTAGAGCCGTGCTGGGTTTTTAACAGCTGATACTAGGATTTGCCAATATCCATCATCTGTAAATCAAAGATTTTACGTCTCATAAACCAAGAACTAGTTTTCAGTGGTCACGTGCTTGTGGACAGCTGCATCCATGAGCTAACAGATGATTACAGAACCAGTTTTTGCAATTTTAATGTGCAATTAAAGGATCTGCTTTTACAGTTGCATTTCCAAGCAGACCTGAAAGTTATGAATAATTAAGATTGTTTTAGGGGTGGGTGTGTTTGGGTAGTTGCCCTAGGAAGTGCTGTGTATGGAAGACATTGCTGCAGGTAATATTATTTCAGGTAAACTCTGTATAGCGGTGGATCAGTGTTTCTTGGTGCACTGCCTTCATCAGGGTGATCTGTGCAAGCCTATCTTCCTGTCCGTCTGTCTAGTGTATAAGTCCCCTGAGTATGAGTCGCTGGGCTTCGACTTGACAGTGGAGCGTCTGGTGTCCATCGGATATCCACAAGAGCTGCTAAACTTTGTCTACGACCCCTCCTTCCCCACCAGGTTCACAAAACCCTGTGTTCTTTAAATCTATTTGAATGCTGACTTGATATTTGAATACCACTGCAACAAATTCTCTAACTCAAGTGTGCTTTCTCACTGATTTTTCTGTCCTCACTCCGTCTCCACTGTTATCAGAGGTCTGGTGTTTGACACAATGTATGGCAACCTGCTCAAAGTGGATGCTTATGGGAACATTCTGGTGTGTGTGCACGGATTCAACTTCTTGAGGGGGTGAGGTCCACCTACACTGCTCCCACTGAGCTGTCAACACAATCCACCACATCTGTAACATCAGTTGTCCGCATTGTTAGAGCCGCCCTCCATCCCACGTACAACACCATCATTTAAATGAATCATAAACAAGACAGCGTGCTAGCGGCTGTATTTTGAGCTAAATGCTAACGTCAACATGCTAACATGCTCACAATGACAGTGCTTTACATGCTGATGTTAAACAGGTGTAACATTTATACCATGTTCACCATCTTAGTTTAGCATGCTAACATTAGCTAAAAGCAATAAACACAAAGTACAGCTAAGGCTGATGGGATAGTTATTCGTTTTGCAGGTGTTTGGTCATAAAGAAGGTTTGGACACAGAATCAAAATTGACAGTGGAGCTACAGGTGCTGGAAATATAATTAGAATATCATCAAAAAGTTGATTTATTTCAGTAAGTCCATTAAAAAAGTGAAACTTGTATAATGTATACATTCATTCCACACAGACTGATATATTTCAAGTGTTCATTCCTTTTAATTTTGATGATTATAACTGACAACTAATGAAAACTCCAAAATCAGTATCTCAGAAAATTAGAATATTGTGAAAAGGTTCAGTATTGAAGACACCTGGTGCCACACTCTAATCAGCTAATTAACTCAAAACACCTGCAAAGGCCTTTAAATGGTCTCGCAGTCTAGTTCTGTAGGCTACACAATCATGGGGAAGACTGCTGACTTGACAGCTGTCCAAAAGACGACCATTGACACCTTGCACAAGGAGGGCAAGACACAAAAGGTCATTGCTAAAGAGGCTGGCTGTTCACAGAGCTCTGTGTCCAAGCACATTAATAGAGAGGCGAAGGGAAGGAAAAGATGTGGTAGAAGAAAGTGTACAAGCAATAGGGATAACTGCACCCTGGAGAGGATTGTGAAACAAAACCCATTCAAAAATGTGGGGGAGATTCACAAAGAGTGGACTGCAGCTGGAGTCAGTGCTTCAAGAACCACCACGCACAGACGTATGCAAGACATGGGTTTCAGCTGTCGCATTCCTTGTGTCAAGCCACTCTTGAACAAGACACAGCGTCAGAAGCGTCTCGCCTGGGCTAAAGACAAAAAGGACTGGACTGCTGCTGAGTGGTCCAAAGTTATGTTCTCTGATGAAAGTAAATTTTGCATTTCCTTTGGAAATCAAGGTCCCAGAGTCTGGAGGAAGAGAGGAGAGGCACAGAATCCACGTTGCTTGAAGTCCAGTATAAAGTTTCCACAGTCAGTGATGGTTTGGGGTGCCATGTCATCTGCTGGTGTTGGTCCACTGTGTTTTCTGAGGTCCAAGGTCAACGCAGCCGTCTACCAGGAAGTTTTAGAGCACTTCATGCTTCCTGCTGCTGACCAACTTTATGGAGATGCAGATTTCATTTTCCAACAGGACTTGGCACCTGCGCACAGTGCCAAAGCTACCAGTACCTGGTTTAAGGACCATGGTATCCCTGTTCTTAATTAGCCAGCAAACTGGCCTGACCTTAACCCTATAGAAAATCTATGGGGTATTGTGAAGAGGAAGATGCGATACGCCAGACCCAACAACGCAGAAGAGCTGAAGGCCACTATCAGAGCAACCTGGGCTCTCATAACACCTGAGCAGTGCCACAGACTGATGGACTCCATGCCACGCAGCATTGCTGCAGTAATTCAGGCAAAAGGAGCCCCAACTAAGTATTGAGTGCTGTACATGCTCATACTTTTCATGTTCATACTTTTCAGTTGGCCAACATTTCTAAAAATCCTTTTTTTTATATTGGTCTTAAGTAATATTCTAATTTTCTGAGATACTGAATTTGGGATTTTCATTAGTTTCAGTTTTAATCATCACAATTAAATGAAATAAACATTTGAAATATGTCAGTCTGTGTTTAATGAATGAATATAATATCCAAGTTTCACTTTTTGAATGGAATTACTGAAATAAATCAACTTTTTGATGATATTCTAATTATATGACTAGCACCTGTAGATGAAAAACAGGATCACCAGAGCCTTTACAATTCATCTTGAGGGGAACTTTAATGTGTATAGCACATTTAATGGCAATCCATCCAATACTTGTTGAGACTGAATGTAAACTTACTGTTTAGTTGTTGATACTTGTTAGTATCTCATGTTGCACAAAACACACACCACTGCAGAAATGTAATGTAACGCAAACAACCGACTGTGTGTGTACTATGTATACTGCAGACCTGACATCAGAGAGATGTACCCCAACAAATTTATTCAGCGTGGAGACACAGACCGCTTCTACATCCTCAACACACTCTTCAACCTGCCTGGTAAGAAAACGAATAAAAACCGCTAGTCTACAGTGCTGAAACCCAATATAATCATCCATTTAAGATGATTTAAGAATTAGCTGAGCATGTTTAGCCATTTTTACCATCAATAATGCACTGATACCAATAATTAGTGCATCATCTAGTCTATAAAATAATAGATTTAAATAAAAAATAAAATGACCCATGTTTTAACGGAGACCAAAGTGATTAAAATAAATTATTTTATCTAAATACCTTACACACCTACACTAACACACAATGCATACTTCACATCTTAATAGTGAATCTACCAAAATAGTAGCCTGCATGTGTGGGTCTATACTTTATGTAGAAAAAGATAGAGCAGCTGAGCGTGCTCACTGGATGTGCCTGTACCACTCCAGCTGGCATGAAGAGGAAGAGAAGGTGGACTATAGCACACAGTGTTCCTGGAACTTAATAACTTTCTCTGTCACTTTTTGACCCACCCACCCGAACCTGTGATATTTTCTAGTAAGCTCACCCGAACCCGCCTGAAACATGGGACCCACACATCACTACAGGGCACGGTTCAGCCTTCAACAATCATAGGCATAGACAGAATATTAAGTCATCTTTGGAAAATACACTTTTACTTTATTTTCTTTCTCAGAAAAAAGATTTCACAGAAACACAGTTCATCAAATATATCTCAATTCAAAAACAACAAGATGTAGTTCCTTATTCACGGTGTGAGGAACACCACATTAATAGAGCCATTTAGTGAGTCAGTCAATCTATCCTCCAGCGCTCCGGGACTTGTCCATCCATAGTGCTGTCCATAAGCTTGTACCAGTTGCTGGGTTGCTGGCATATACAGTATGTGTTTTAAAAGGAAACCCAAATTTAAAGGATACACTGTCATTTCTTTCAATTAACGATATTTTAATCCTCACATGACCAACACAACTATAAACCCTCAGCACAGAGATCACATGACTACCTGTGAGTTTGGACAGTCTGGTCATCCCCACAACTGGACCATTGAAAGTCAGGCAGCAAACTCACTGGGCTTCACACAGTTTTCTTTACATTTTTGATTTGTCATGTTTGTATTCAGGTCTGTCGTCCGTCTCACTGATTCTGGTCTTATTTCTTCTTCAGAAACTTACCTCTTTGCTTGCCTGGTTGATTTCTTCAGTAACTGCTCCAGATATACAAGGTACTGCATACTCACTGTTACATACAGTACACTGGCTGTCTGAGGGAAGTGAAGCTGGTTGGAATGTAAAGTGACAATCTGGAAAAGAGCCTGTTTAACGACAATAATCAGAATTTCAGTGGAATTATAGTATCACTTCATTCTGATTTAAGGAGTATGATCAGTTCCCAGTGTTCTTTGGTGCACTTGATCAGTTTATCAAACAACCAAAGCACCTACCACCACCTGACAATGAGTCCGCCCATTTTGGTTGTTTGAAAAACGGTCTCCATTTTAAAATGAAAACGCAGTAGTGTGGATGGGGCTATTACTATTCACCAATCACCTTTGAGCTAAGTTTTGTTGCATTCAGGTAAATGATCCATGTGGAGAGCCAAAGGGCCCGAAATGCAATCTTGGAACAATTTAGCTTTTGGTCAATCTTGGAACCCTAGAGAAGAGCTTTTTATTGGCTTTTTTTCAAACATAACTTCATTTAGTTTTTGCAATTTTAGTTTTTTCCAGTACTTTGCAGCCCTAGTCTAATTGCTCTTTCAGAATCTTTTCTGTCTGGACAACAACACGTTTCTGGGGGGGAACACTGAGTCATTGTCATTTTTGAGCCTCAGAAATCCGTGTTGTGCAGCACACCAATGTTAACATGATTGTTTCTGTAGCTGTGAGACTGGCTTCAAAGATGGCGACCTTTTCATGTCCTACAAGAGCATGTTCCAGGACGTCCGAGACGGCGTGGACTGGGTTCATTTCAAGGTAGAACATTTTCCTTTATCACATTAAACCTGTTTCCATGCCGCTGTATGCCGTCTTCTGCAGTCCGCTCATCCACAGCCCTCAGTCCAGTTTATTTTTCACAGGGGTCCTTAAAAGAGAAAACGGTTGAAAACCTGGAGAAGTATGTGGTGAAGGATGTAAGTACACCTGTTTATACATACACACCAACTATCTACCAACCTGGACTTTAAAGTTGGGGTTACAAAACAACACTTTTTAGCTCAGTCTCATTTTTTTGCTGTTCAGTTTTTCTATGTTGTTGATGTTTGTTCTGTTTTTCTTCCGCCTAGCCGAAGCTTCCTCTCCTCCTCAGTCGCATGAATGAAGTAGCAAAAGTATTTCTGGCCACCAACAGTGATTACAAATACACAGAGGTGAGAAGAAAGTTTACAGTCGTCTGTCTGTAGTAATGAATGCTTAAAGCCAACCAGAACCTCCTGCTTTATGTTTTTACTTGGAATTTACAGATTGATTTTCACAGTTGTATGAATGGTGGCACTTGATGGAGCCAGGACAGTGAAATCTGGCACTGAAAACTAAAACACAGGCATTAAAATGTTTTAGTGTCGCTGGTTTTCAGTTTCAAATTTCTGTCACTGTTCACATAAAGCATAACATTAGCTAGCGGTCACGTAGGCTTCAGCGCGGACAAAAGAACAGCTGGGTCCGGAAGGGTGACGTTCTCTCATTAGTATGCAGATTATATGTAACTCACGCTCTCCATGGCCCGCCAAATTTTCCGTGTCAATGTTACCTTTTTCAGTTCAGGTTTTGTTTTTAATGCCAAATTGTAAAGTTGCTGTCCTGGCTCTATAGAGCTTTGTCATATTGCCAGGTGATGTTAATGATCCTTATTCTATGTTATGGACCAGGATGCTAAACTCTCCTGTCTTCTTACAGAAAATTATGACCTACCTGTTTGACTTTCCTCACGGCCCAAAGGTAACACTTATGATTTGATAACATTTGTATTTTCAGGTCTCAGTAGATTTAAACTGAACTACTGTGCTTACTAATGATGGTGTCCAAAGAGAAAAATGAGAAATGAGTTCTCAGTTATCATGAATGGGATGGACTTGAGGGGGGCAATATGAGCCTCCAGTTAAACCCTGAACCCACAAAGGGCCAATGGAGGACCATGATGTCACCATTGGATCTAGGTCAAAGTTCATTAGAAAAGAAGAACGCATTTTATATTGCAATCTGCCAAAAACACAAAGATGATTCTTCATTAGTCTCTGCTTACTGTGGATGTATTATTAGAACTCAAATTCTCTTACTGTACATCCATGCTGCTTACTATGACAACATGGTAAGGCTGTCCCTGATTTACATAGCTGAGCCAGATTTGTCAAGGATGGCCACTGATAGTCGAATCGTGTGCCGAGTTGGGCATGCCCGCCAACAATTGCATGCACTTCTCGGGTCTATTCCAAGTACTGTTTAAAAAAGATTTAATATTCTTTGTGTGGGTCATCAGTGGTGATAAATGATTCAAACGTCCTGCGAGCTTCAAACACAATTCAGTACAACACCGGCACGGGTGGTGCTCCATCACATGCTACGCCTACACATGCGCACTGCTGCCCCCTACCTTAAGGGTTAGTTACAGTTTTGGATTTATTCCCGCACTTAATTATTTATTAACATTTATTAAAACCTTCTTTTTTTCACATGTTTATTTACAGCATTATATGTTGATATTCATACTAGGACTTCAGCTAACGATGATTTTAGTATTCAAAGCTTTGATAGATTTCAACTATTCATCAATGCGTCGTTTAAGAAGTACTTTTACTTGGTGGCGGTGACAGGGACGCACACACACTACAGGAGCTGACAGCGGCTCTGTCACCCGATGCTGGTCTCCAAACCACTTTTATCAAGAAAACACGTGAAATGTGAAACGGGAAATGAGCGATCCTGCACAGGAAACAGCTGTTTGTTATAAAGATGGCGATAATAAAGACAAAGAATCTGGGTAAAGGATGGATTAGCACACGCAGGTAGCAGAGATTGTCTGAGCTACAGAGAGAGCTGGAGGGGAGTTAAAAGGTGCAGCTCCTCGACACCCAGTTAACTCCTGACTGTGAGGTTACAACTCACGGCCCACAAAGGAGAACAACAAACACACGTGCACATTTTCAGCTGAGGACTGCAGCTTACTTCAACTCAACAATCAATCATGATTTCAGCTAAATGCTAAAGTTGCTGTTACTGTTACCTTGTCTGTGGTCCGCTGGCAGAACACCTTTTTGTTCAGCTGCCGTCGTGCTGCAAACAGCTCCATCATAATCACGCTGTGCGACAGTAATAAATGTCCCTTTGAAACACTGTGCTGTATAGTTACATGGATTAAACGAAGCATCGATGCAAAGAATTTGTCGATGGATTTTATTAATCAGTGAATCGTTTCAGCCCTAATTCATATCCTAATAAACAGTATATTAACTTAAAATCAGACGTCGAGCACCCCCATACAGCCAGCAGGCATGATCCTCATTTCATAACGCCTCTGCGAAGATTTGTACCAATGAAGATTGGTTAAGTTTATTAATGTTTCCAGACCTTCGTGACAGCATGATGTTTAATAATGGCATTATATCTTTTCATCATACTATTCCAGATCCCTTTAACATTTAGCTTGTGGAAACGAGAACAAATTTAATTTCATTTTTGGATGGATCCCTGTATTGTTATTTATATATATTTATATATTTGTTTTGCAGTGTATTGGTATAATGTGTTAATAATAAAGTTTTTAGAACTCACTGGCTGAGGTGCTACAGGCCACAGCCAGATCTTATTTATGAGACACGAATACTGTACAACCAGAATTTACTTTTACTATTGACATCATAAATGACGTGCTGTGTGTTTTGGGGGGTTTTTTGCAGCCGGGTACACCCCACCGGCCCTGGCAGTCCTACTTTGACCTGATTCTGGTGGACGCCCGTAAGCCCATGTTCTTTGGAGAGGGAACTGTGCTGCGGCAGGTCGACACTGTGAGTGTGTACTAGCACGGACAAAATACCATACGCACTTATTTAAAATATAATTTTAGAAAGAGTTTTTGCTGTGTACAGATAAATAAATATAATATTGTATTAGTGTGTGACTCAGTCTTGGTTTCATTCAGGCCACAGGTCGGCTGAAGATCGGCACGTACACTGGACCTCTCCAGCATGGTATTGTTTACTCTGGAGGTAAATGAGAAACCTTCTTCACACAAGATGAAATATTCACACAAACCACCATCTAGGCATGTCTTGAAGTGATATCTGCTCATCTCTCACTGCACAGTAATGTACCAGATTGTGACTTTACCTTGTTTAACTGATTCATTACATCACATGGTTTTAAATGCACAGTATGTCATTTCTACGGCTAGGAGTCTCTCACATCATAACGTTAACAAAATGCGTAGTTTGACATTGTGAAGTAGCATGGGATCATGGGAATTGTCTTCACTGTTAAACAGCCACCATTGCAAAGAAAATCTGACGTGACCCAGGGAGAAATCACAGACAAGTTAAAGTTTTATTCACCTTCCTCACTCTCTGACATATTGCAAGTTTCCCCAGAACTTATAGCATCTAGAGGGGAGAAAGGGTTTATGACGCCAGTGACAGGTGACAAAATGAAATGCACCTTCAGTAGGGTTTGGTCGGTCTCCAGCCAGTGCGGTGCAGTATACAGGTGTACTTACTTAAACCAGCTCGATGTTACCCCAACTGACAAGGGCTCATTTTTCATTATGAGATGTTCTGGCCAATTTAAAAAAGACGAGAAGCAGCTCTGGGTGATATCAGGTTTTTAAAGCCTCTCCACTGCACCTCCGGAGTCTCATCCCTCCGGCATCGGCGTAGATTCAGTCCTACAAATGCAAAGAGACTCATTTAGCAAGGTTGCCAAGAAATATAACTTGTGTTATGTGACATGAGCTGTACATTCAAAAATCTGCTTAATAAAGGGCAACAAACGTGATAACATGTGAAACTATGCACTCATCTGCTCGACTGAGGCCTCAAAGACGACATAAATCAGTTTAAATGTAGTTTGTTCTTTTGTTTACCTTATTTATGAGAATCAGTGTCACAGCATGCAAGTATTCATTTCAGATCAAATTAAATGTAATATCTGATTAAACATACTTGAGGCATTCTTTTGCGAGAACAGATATCTCCGTTAGGGCTTATCATAAATCCTGGTTCTTTTAGTGCGCACTTCAGGGAATATCAATCAAATGGCTGTTTTATTTAAAATGGCTTTTATCTTTTTGCAAATTAACTCAGAATATATTATAAGGTAAAAATTCAGTTTATTTTACACAATGGTATCCTTTTGCAGTTGCAGTTTCTCGATTCTCCAGTTTATGTGTCAATCAGCGGCCATGGTTACCGTGGGGAAGTCAAGTTAGTTTAAAAAAGATAAAAACAAAGTTTGCTTAGAAAGTGGCGTACGCTGTCTTTTGTGCGTACACAGCGTTTATAAATGAGGCCCCTGTTGTTTAGAATAGCAAATGCAACAGAAACCTGGTAGAGGTTGAGTCTCAGCTATAATTGCGACATCATAGAAAGCAATCATGGATCACATTTCATAGGTTTTGATAGGACGGGATGATATGAAAAATGCCATATTTGTACTCCCAGGTTCTTCGGACATCGTGTGTGACCTGCTTGGTGCGAAAGGAAAGGACATCGTCTACATCGGAGACCACATTTTCGGTGACATTCTCAAATCCAAGAAGCGTCAGGGCTGGAGGACTTTCCTGGTGATACCTGAGCTGGCCCAAGAGTTGCATGTCTGGACTGACAAGAGCTGTGAGACTGGATGCATACACACTCATACAAACAAGCAGCTTCAGAACTCCACTGTTTCCAAGTGTTGTTCATCTGGAACAAAACCTCAGAGCTGATCTGGCTTAATTAGAAGTCCAGCTAATAGTAGTATAGTTAATAAATAGGTTTTAATAGAGGGTTAAGAAAAAAAATACTCTTTTCTTTTGACAGAAAATGTGACTGGGCTTCTACACTCCACAAGGTGTTAACAAACCATTATAAATGTGATGTACTAATGCCAGATGTTGTTTTTCAGCCATATTTGAGGAGCTTCAGTCTCTGGAGTGCTTCCTCGCAGAGCTTTACAAGTGAGTTCCTCATTGTTAAGGTAGCTGTTTGTTGTGTGTTGAAATAAATGCTGGTACAGGAAGAATTTACAGCAGTTGGTTCCTGACACTCACTGGGTCAACACTGAAAAATCTTTTCTCTGCTGCTCTGAAAGTTGATTTGATTTTAGTCACCCAGTGCAGTGGGGTTGCCTGTGTTGTCCAGCTCCTGTTTGTTGTGTCCCTGCTGAGAGGTGTGGGTAGAAATAATGTCTGGAGATTAAATTTGCTTCACGTATTAAGTATTTCCTCTTACTGACAGAATTGCCAAATTACCAGAGTGACTTGTAGTTGTGAGACATCTGTTCTCAACGTTTAAGACCCAGTTTCCACCAAAATACCAACTACTTTCTTTGCACTTCCTCATTTGAATAATCCATCCAAGTGCGGTGGCAATAACATTGTCCTGACTGGGTGACCGACTACAACACTTTTACTGTCTCTACTCCGAGCTCCTTCCTGATGTCTGGGCTTCTTACCCTGTCTCTAAGCGGGAGCCCAGACACAATCTCATTCTTTTGGTCACTATCCAAAGCCTGTAGATCGAAAGCTTTGCCTTCCAGCTCAGCGCTCTCTCCACCACAACCCCCGCATTACTGCTGATTCCATCCCAGTCTGCCTGCCTTTACCTCATTCATGAACAAGTGCCAGAGATTAGTGCGTGCTTCCAAGCAATTTGAGCACATGCAAAAGAGTTTAACAAATGCACACATCACAACCTGAAAAAAAATCTTTTAGCTTCAGTTTCACAGATCTGACACTGTGTTTTGTCCTCAGGCACCTGGACAGCAGCAGCAATGAGAGACCCGACATCAGCTCACTGCAGAGACGGATTAAGGTACACCTTCCTCTGTCACACACGTCCTGTATTTCACTTCAAAAAGAGCTGCACTAAACAGAGAAGTCAAGCAGTATGAGGTTTTGAAGAGTGTAAACCTTGAAGTTGCTGATATTACTACTACTGTTGAACACCTTGTATGTTGATTTCCACGGGTAATAAACAGCAAGACATCAAATCAAATATAACAACTGTTTTCATGTATAGTTCAGGGCCCTTTTGCAGTGTAGCTGAAGTGAATTCCTGGATAATAAATATTCATCTCTAATTTTCTGTAGTGTCCCAGTAGTATTTGTTGTTACTAAGGCATGTCACATGACCTGGTTAAGCTCCGATTGAGACTGAGAACATGACCAAAATACTGACATACTGAATATCTTGTAAAAGTTCTTGGTTCTGCTGGCAAAATAGATTAATTCAAATTAATATTTTAATCATTTCTATCATTTTTTGTGGGTTCATTTTGGAGCCATTGCTTGCAGCACAGTAGACACACACACCCAGGGGTTTCTGAAACGGCATATGGTCCATTTTAGGGCTGGGCGATATGGCCAAAATGTTATCACGATAAAAACATTTCAAACCCTTCAATATCGATAATTGTCTTGATAAATATCAAGTCATTATTTCTTTCACTCAGGAGCAAAAATCTGCCTATAAACTTGAAAGTTGAAGAAACCAGATGGTTAACTGTGTGGTTAAACAGTGGATCACTTCACAAATCTGAGGTGGAACATTCAAAACAATTGTGATAAAATCTTTTTTTCAACAAATATGATCAGTAAATATTTTTTCAGTCCCTTTTCTTCAACATAATTAAGATCTTAATAGAAAAATAAAGTGCTAATTTGTTCATGATTCAAACAAATTCAATCAAACAGTTATTGGGGATATATTGAACATGTGTTATATTGTTATTGAGGACAATTATATTGCGATAATTATCATTATTGTTTTATTGCCCAGCCCTAGTCCATTTGACACTAAAACTGTGACTACAGTTCAGTCTACATACAAATAATCCCTGTAAGGGCAGTTGCATGCCCATAGCGCCACTCCCTGTTAATAAGACGTTCCTTGCATAGAGGTCTGCAGCAAAAAGACATTTCTGTCAAAATCTTTAAGAATAAAGTCAGTAACATGTCAGTAAATTAAATGTTGTCCTGCATGTCTCTGTGTCCTTTCCAGAAAGTGACCCATGACATGGACATGTGCTACGGCATGATGGGAAGTCTGTTTCGCAGTGGATCCCGACAGACACTGTTTGCCTCCCAAGTGATGCGCTACGCTGACCTGTACGCCGCCTCCTTCATCAACCTGCTCTACTACCCCTTCAGCTATCTGTTCAGAGCTGCACACGTGCTGGTAAGGTTCGCTCATCGCTCTCACTCAGGGTAAAGTTTACACAGCCTTAATGTTTGTGTCGGTCATCTGCACCTCGTATATTTTTGATTGATGGCATTACGTTAAAAACTCTCAGATGCCTCACGAGTCGACGGTGGAGCATACCCACGTCAGCGTCATCGACACAGAGTCACCCCTGGCCACACGAAACCGCCACGAGCTCGACCTCAAGGAGATGGAGTGCAAACGGCACCAGCTGACACGATCCATCAGCGAGATCCAGCCCCCCCACTTCTTCCCTCAGGCTCCACAGGAGATCACCCACTGCCATGATGAAGATGATGACGAGGAGGAGGAGGAGGAGGAGGAGGAGGAGTAGAGAAGTCTGTAGATGAGTCTTGGAGCTTTTCTTTGATTTATAACTACCGGGCTGTAACTGCTGCCTGGTTGTCAGATCCATTTTTTTTATTTTCTTTTTTCATTTAGTAGGACCTGGACCTGGTCGTTTACATGATATTGACTGTCGATCCAGGTGGTCTTGCTACGAAGAGAGAGAATTAGAGAGAATTATCCAGCATGTTCAGATTTATGTTTGTAGTCTATGATTCAGGCAGTGGGATTTTGAAATTGAAAATGACAAGAAAGTGAAGACGTGTCTCCAAAGTGAAAGAGAAGAACTTCCATACTCAGGTAGAGCATGTGTTCATTGTTAGATCCTCGTGGCTCCGCTGGGTTTGTTTGAGGAGGAATTTTCTGCTTTTGGATGGGGATCATTCAGCTTATCAGGAGCCAGTGTGAATTTACTCATGTGTACTGTGAACGGTTCACTGCCATGCTTCGTTCTCCTGCACCATGCCTCTCCCTTTATCATGTGCAGAACTCTGAGGTGAAGGGGTTGACTTTAACTTTGCATAAAGGAACAATCTATCTTAAAACTGGAGGCAGCCACATGTGTCACATACTTTGCATTTTTGGGACCATAATGTTTTGTGAGGTGTCTTTTTTTTCACACTTCCAAAGAATACTGGTCAAATGTAGAGCTGTGATATTTTGAGGTATTTCGGCACCGCTAGAATTCAAGCTGTTTTATACATTTGAGTTATTTAAAACATCCACAGTAAATGTCTTATTGCTGTGAGATGGATGTTCCTGCAACTACAGCTGCATCACCGAAAGGAACTCTGGGAAATGTAGGAACATCTGAGTGTGGATTCCTCCTGGATTTATTTACTGTAGTTGGTGTATTGAACACAGCTGTTGAAACTAGACTCAGTCATAAAACATTTCCCTCTAGATGAATATTTCCTGATAAGCAGAGTGTGTAATGCCTGCTGTGGTGAGATGAAGTCAACAGGAAATGGCTTACACTATATGCTAACAGTTCATGATACCAGCGTAAAGAAACGTTGCCTACTTGTTTTACCCAGTAACTCTCCTCACTGTGTTGTAAAATCAGACCGACTGTCCCATACCCCACAGAATCAAAACAACACCTCAGCCTGAGCTCCTCAGTGTTGTACAGGCTGGCTGCATTATGTGTTTTTAAAATGACTGTAGATATTTAACCTTGCACAAGGTTCACAAGGCACTGTGAAACGGTTACTGCCGTATTCATCTCACTTTGAGTTGATCCAGTGAGTGTGAATCAGACTTACTGTTTGAAGTACATTTAAGTTAAATAGTTTTCATCTGAGGAATGACGTGAAAGGTATGAAAGCCCATTCCTGCCAGGAAAAACAAAATAATTGTGACATTTTGGACTATATCATTTTTTTTTTTTAATCTAAAAACTTGATTTCTGTTTATAATTTTGAATCAGTTTGCCAGACTGACGTATTTTCGTATCATTTTTATGTGTAAATTTAGTGAGAAGTTAAATGTTTCATCACCAGCCAAGTGAACATTTTGTTTTGCCTACTATCCAAGTATACTGTACTATAATTTAGTCTTACCATGAGTGTTTTGCTTTGTCATTTGGAAAGCTTCCAGTGTGTATTGCACCTGGTGGTAGTGGTCTTCCATAGTGACCCTGCTGCTGTTCCCTGACTGTAGTTTAAACATGATCAGAACTATCACCAGTTCTGTCTGTAAACCTGCTGTTACTGTAATGTGAGATATGGACAGTGGTGCCGCTGAGCACTGTGGGCCTGTTTCTGTGTGCACTGTCACCACAGATACTGTCAACATGAAGAGGATGCAATAAGTATTTTAGTTTATTTTTAGTGCTGATACGGTTGTTTTCCTTTTAACATTATCACGTTTTTACGTTACTGCCTTGATTTGAAAACAGGAGGACCTGTTTGCCAGAAAAGTTCGATCTGATGAACTGATCACACACAGTATGGACCCTTAGATTTCAATGAATGCAATTGTACCGTTTGTGTGTTTATAGCCTCACACAAAGTTACTCATTAAATTTGTTGAAGCTGCCTCATCCTGTTTGGACAGAAGAGACCTGTTTTTACTGTCCTCGTTGTGGGTCAAAGCTTGATTAAATGACCTGTCATTGAGATCTGTGCTCAAATGGACAGTTTGACCTTTTTCAGCCCTGTTGCACCTTGGGATATTTATCCTGTTATTCGAGTATGGGAGCAATAAGTCGAATTTGTCACTCTGATGCTGTTGAAACAGAGGCCCAGAGGTTTCAGAGTGTGCAAGTAGTACCAATGATGAAACATTTTCAATTTCATATTCAAATCATTTCAGAACTGTTGTGCATGCCTGTTTTAATGACAGCGATAGCTAGCTTAGGCTTTGACGATCAGTCGTACTCAAGTGTACAGTGAACCAAATGAATGTTTATTTTTACCAGCAACAGTTGATGCATGTTGTATTTTTTGCTGTTTTTATTTGAAATGTTGCCTTTGTTTGGAATGTTTGTAATAAATTTTCTGATCTGATATTTCAGAGTTTTGATTTATTTTTTTGTCAGTTTACTCTTATGAAAATAAAATTCTAATATTCTGCCATTTTACAGGACTGTGCAGAGGTTTTAGGCAGGTGTGGGAAATAAGCTGTAAAGTAAGTAATGTAGTGCTTTCAAAAATCACCATAAAACAGAAAAACAACATAGGGAAATAAGATATGTAAGTGCTTTTTTTTTTTTTTTTTTTAAGTTAAACAGAACATAAACAAGATAAACAGGACAGTAAAAGTTACAGTGCAGTGAAAGATATTAATCAAAATTCATTTGAATTATTGAAAGGCAGCGGTAAAAAGTCTTCAGACTTGATTTAAAAGAACGGATGGTTCATAGTGTTGTGAAGATAAGAAAGGTATATTCATAAACCAACAGCATTATTTTAAAATTAGGAAGCCAGTGTAGACCTCAGAACTGGAGTGATTGGTCTTAGCGAGGACTCGAGCAGCTGCATTCTGAATCAGCTGCAGCTGTCTGATGGACTTTTCAGGGAGACCTTTTAAAGGCATCGTTATAGTGGTTGAGTCTCACTTACTCAGTACTTGTATGGAATTATAGTCATTGTTGATAGGGTTATGTAAATTTGTGTGTTGTCTACATAGTTATGGTAACATTTTATTGTTTTTCATAATCTGAGCGAGTGAAATCATGGAATAGATGTTGAGCAGAAGAGGCCCCAGAATGGAGCCTTGGGGAACTCCGCAAGTCATTTTTGTCAGCTCAGATGTGTGATTACCTACACACACAATGTAGTCCCTGTTTTTTAAGTAGGATTCAAACCAGTTTAGTACTCTGCCAGGAAGTCCCACACAGTTTTCTAGTAATATCCAGTGTTTAATGCAGCACTGAGATCCAGGGCTGAAACTCAAAATCAATTACATTCATTTTAGCTGATGCTTTTTTCCAAAGCGACTTGTAATTGCTAAATGTCAGAGGTTGCACGCCTCGATCCCTGGACTCTCACACCAAAGGCATGTGTCTTATGCACTGTACCATCACCAGCCCGTAACAGCTGCTTAGTGATAAGACTTTGTTCAGCTGTAAAGAGAGCTATTTCAGTGATACTTAAAAATAGGAGATTTTATAGGGGCCTATAATTGTTTATTACTGACGTGTCTAGATTATTCTTTTTTAAGAGTGGCTTGATGACTGCAGTTTTCAGGGCCTGTGGGAAGAAACCTGAGATAAGAGACCTTTGTAGAAGATCTGAGGCCAAGCAGTTGGAAACGTTTTTGCAGGAGCAGCAGGAAGATTTCAGATGTTGTATTATGTCCTCCAGGCTTTTATGGTTGAAAGAATCAAATTGTGTCATGCTATACGAATTGTTTTTAAGTGGACACAGGGACAGGACATATCCTGTACCTGACATGGAGGCACTGATTGCTTTTCTAATTGTTTTGTCTGTGAAGAAGGAGGCAAATTCATTGCAGGCCCTGGTGGACAGAAGTTCAGAGGCTACAGCCACAGGAGGGTTGGTTAGCCTGTCGACAGCAGCAAACAGGGCGCGTGCATTATTAGTGTTTTTGGTGATGATGGCAGGAAATGCAAGGACCGCCTTGCTTTTCTCAAGTTATCAGTGCGAAGTCTCTCTTTATAGATGTCATAATGAACCTGGAGATTTGTTTTCCGCCACCTGCGTTCAGCTTTTCGACACTCTTTTTCTATTCTTATCAGCGTGGCATTTCTCCATGGAGATCTTCTCTTACCAGAGACCACCTTCACCTTGGCTGGTGCAATGGCATCAATAACATTTGTCATTTTAGAATTGAAGTTATCTACAAGGTCATTGGCTGAGACCCACGAGAGGGCGGGTGGAGGAGAAAGCCTCAATAAATATTATTTATTTTCAGTGATATGCCGTCTTATGATTACCTCTGAACATTTGTGTGCAGATAGCACTCTCAAAGAAAACACAGGAATGATCAGAGAGAGCAACATCAGTCACCACAACCTTGGAAATGTTCAGACCCTTGGAGATGACTAAGTCCAAAGTGTGCCTGTGCGTGGGCTCCGTCACGTTGAGTCAGTCCATAATTATCAAGAACACAACACAGTTCTTTAGTCCCTCTGTCCTGAGGATTTGTTAGTCAAGGTCCATACAGATTATAGACAGTAGGTCAGCAAGTCATCAAAAAGGTTGCACAGTATTTAGGGGGCCTGTAGATATTTAGAAAGATAGATCGAGAAGAGCAATTCAGCTGAAGAGCCACATATTCAGAAGAACTGATCCAGTTTTAAAAGGCAAAGGGTGGTGACATCAGATATCGATTTAAGAGTTTTCATCGGTCACTCACTTTGCATTTTGATTGTTGATAATATAATCTCTTAACACTCGTCCTTGCATCCTAACTTTATAGCAGTTTTTCCCACACGTGCCACACAGAACCGCGTGCACACACATGAAACATGGAATATGTTGATGGTACAGTCATTAACAACAAACTCCCAGCAGAGGGAGCCAAATGCTTGTAAAAACTAAACTTTTTGTCCAGGATTTAAGATAGGTCTCTAAACAAAACTCAACAGTAATGGGTCTCGGTGCCTTCACAGCTCCGGATAATCACGGTGGACAGTTTCAATTGGGACTATTTGTTCAGTGGAAAACAGCAAGTGACAAATAAAAGGCAAAACCAGAATGTGTGCAGAAATCCTGATGCAGATGCTTTTACACAGGACAGGGGATGGTTTGATGAGTATGAGAGATTTTGGAGTGACGTGTTGACAGCACACAGACATCATCAAAACACCAAATTAAGGATACATGCTCTTTATCCCCCCAGCACAGTTCCACACACTGACAAGGAGCACTGGAGCTTTTGTGGAGGCTCGAGGTGGGACTGCACCTTACTGACACACTTTATGGTGGGTTTTCGTACCTCACCTCTCTGTAGATGAGTTTTCATTTGGAGATTTAAATGAAATGTTGTCTCAAGCATCAGCAGATGTATGGACTGAAACACGAAAAAGCTGTTTCACAGTTTGCTCATGCCTGTGGATTCTGCATAAATAAGAGACTACTTGCATGTTTTAGAAATACTTACTATAACCAGAATCACAGTGTTTAGTCTCGATGTACTGAGGTGAAAAGATTCCCGAGAGGCAGAAAATGTGATGAGCTACTGTCCCTGGACCTGCATCCTCGCAGACCTCAGGGCTCTGATAAGACGACGTGCTGTCACAGAGGAAGAACATTTAGACTCAAGGTTTAAGTAAGGAACTGAAAATGGCCTGCGGGACAGGGTCAGCTCTGTGCCTGAGATATTGACTGAAGGCAAATACTTTATTAGTTAGTTAATCCTTTGCGTAAACAGGTCGTTTCACAGAGATCAAGATCTGCTTTTCAAGAGAGACCAGTGGACAAGAATAAAGCGACAGTGTAGATACACACACACACACACACGTTTACATACCAGCTTTTAAGGGTCATTTAAAAAATAAATGAAAAAAAACTGGACCCCATTTTCACATATTTTGGTGTTGAAATGACAATTTGGAGTCTGGATAGAGCTGCAGGCTGCAGTGTATTCCTTCAGGGCAAATGCGCCCATCAAAATTATGTCCACAAAAAGAATATTTTTGCCACTAACAGACAGTGGAAACACAAGTCAGTCAGAGTTGGAAAGCAGAGTAAAGTTATAGTAAAAAAGTTAAAGTTAGTAAAGCTAGCAGTTCATCTGTGTTATAACAAACTCCTCCCCTGTTGTTTTTGTTCAGTGTGTATATTTGTGTTGTTTACACTGAAGTCTGTCTGATTTTTTATTGTTATTTTTTTTGATTTTGTATTAGTAAATACATCGTGAGCAATGTACAATCCATGTGTACACATACCTGGCAATAAGCTGATTCTGATTCTACAGTAGCTGCTCTGTTGGACCGGACCACGCGGGCCAGCCTTCGCTCACCACATGCATCAGTGTGCCTTGGCCGCCATGACCCTCTCGCTGCTTCTCGCTTTTCCTTCCTTGGACCACCACTGCAGACCAGGAACACCCCATAAAGAGACACAGCTTTAGAGGTGCTCTGACCCAGTTGTCTAACTATCACAATTTGGCCCTTGTCAAAGTCACTCAAATTCATAAACTGGCCCATTTTTTCCTGCTTCTAACACATCAACTATGAAGACAGAATGTTCACCTGCTGCCTGATATCTCCCACCCACTGACAGGTGCCACGCTAACAAGATAATCAGTGTTATTCACTTCACCTGTCGGTGCTCATAATGTTCAGGCTCATCGTATGGTAGTAAATTAGACCATGGTAAAAAAACACTGCCAAACATCTCGAATCGAATAAGTTTTTTACTGCTGCTGCTTCCACTGTTTCTCTCAGCATCCTTAAGTAGTTTAATATCCATGCCTATGATTCTATAATGATCTACACCTGCTGGCTTGTTATTGAAGGCCAGTTAGCAGCAAAACTCTCAATATACTGGCGGGGAACACGTGCAGCTTGGGCCTCAGGGACGCTGTCAGGGCCAAGCAGCTGTTTAGCCTTCAGGCTGCTGATAGGTTTGTCCCTTCGCTCCTTATCATGAGTCTGAGCTGATGATGCAGGCTCTCTGTTACAATTTCTCAGTTTATAGAGGACTGTTCTTTTAATATAGTTTGCACAACTCTTAGTTTCCTGTTCACTGGCAGCTGTAAGACTGTGGAGTCTACCACTACAACAGTTAAATTCTCACCCTTCAATTGTAATTAATTAATAAAAGGATATGTTTCAAACAGAGCTCTTGCTGCTCTGTGGGTAGGGCCTCATTTTATTTTTTGGTGGCATACAGCTTACATATCTTTGTTTCAAGTCACAGCTGTTAAAATTAAAGCAGTTACCAAATGGAAAGTGTGCATGTTAATGCATGTTCTTTTTTTACACATCGTGAGCAGATACATTTCTGCACTGCTAAACTTTTCCCAATTAATCATTTTTCATCTTATTCAGGAGTTGTTTAATTACCGTCTTCTCAAATCCTAGATGGCAAATATGACGATACACACAATGAAATCCCAAACCACTCTTTTCAATGCATGGAGTGTATAGGTGGTAATTTATATACATATCTATATAGATAAACATATTCATTGAATGCAGAGGGTAATCCAATAATGTTAAAGGATAACCTATTTCATGTGCAGGGCCCCAAGGATTTGTGTGGTGGTCATACCAAGGAAATAAAGTTAGAATACACATTCTAACATTGCACTTACACATGTCAGCATCTGTACCATCAAGGCTTTGGTTCCACAGGGATCTAGCACTCATTACAACGTGCTGCTTGATTTGATTCACATGGTGGTATTATGAGGAGCCAAAACGACACAGACAAGGTTCATGTAATGCAATTGATCAAAACATTTTACATTGCTCAAGAAGAAATATTCTACGGTCCTTGCTTTGCTTAGCAATTCTTCAGCACAGGCACTGTGTTTGTGTTTGACACACAGCAGCACATCACTTCCAAAACGTGAAATGACAGTCCCAACTGTACCGGCCAGCGAGGCCTTATGTGCTTGATTATCCGATGTGGCCAAACGCTGCACCCTATTGACACAGTTGGTTACCACAGGATCCTCCTGGGGGGGGCTCTTCTGCTCCCTCACTTCAGCAAGTGTCTCAGCTGGTCCTGCAGGTTTTTGGAGTGCTCCACACTGGAGGAGGGAAACGAGCAAACACTGAGAGTCAGTGCACGTCATCAGATTGTGTTATGGCTCACTGCTGAGACCGTGATGTCAGCGGGTTCTACTGAAGCACAAACAGGGTGTAGTGTTTAGACTTACTTCTTCTGGATGGCCTCCTGCCTGAGTGACAGACAGACAGACAGACAGACTCTTTCAGTATTCACTTCCAGGCTGAATATAAATGAATGAGTTTCACATGTTTGCTACCCTTACAGTAGACTGATACTCACTGGTATTGTAGATGTGTGGTGATTATGGACATTTTCCTCAGACTCTGAAAGACAGATGATAAAGATATAATCTTGTCAAACCGTTTCCTCGGCACAGAATAGCGTTTTAACTATTTTACCTCTACATGCATATGATCAGGGGTGTGTCTTCACAGACTGTATATTTGGATACTTACGTCCTCAGAGTGCAGGATGGCGTCCTCCTGCATCACCATGTTTCTTGCTGCTTGACCCAGAAGCTAGAAGAGACATTAGCAACACTGTGGCGTTTAGGGCTGCAGCTGATGGTTTTCATTACAAGTTCATCTGCCAGTAATTTGTAGTCATTAGTCAGTTAAGTAGTATTATTAGTCATGTGATCATTTGGTCTGAAAACAGTCAAAAGAAACAAAAATACACGCCTTCAAAGTGCTTTTGTACGACAAGAAAGTTCTAAAGTTCCAGATATTGAGCTTAATATCACACCAGACAAAGAAAAGCAGTCAATTCTGACAACTCAGTGGATGGAAGGAGTGAACTTTGCTTTTTTGGGGCTTGAAAATCAATTAACAAAACATCTTCTTAGCTCTAATGTTAGTTTCACTGCACAGTCCATCATTAGAAATATTAAGCAGATGTTAATCAAGCGTTTAACGCCTTCACGTTAAAGGTACAGAACTGAATCCTGCTAGCCTGTTAGCTTGCATTGGCAGTATCAAGAGATAAAATAAAAGCTGACGCTCAGATTTCAAAATGAAAATGACGTGCTAACAGTTAGCTGCTGGTCGTGTCTGAGTGAAGCTGTTAGCGACGACTCGTCATTTTTTAACTAAATCTCTGCTCGCGTTTTACCTCCTGACTGCGGGATCCCTTCAGCACCTGGCGGGTCAGTGCGATCACGTCCCCGCTGCAGGAGCCCACTTTATCGGACAGTAACCCTTTGACAGACTGGCCAAACCGCGGCTGGGACTCTGCAGCCATTTTCTGTTATTGCTGGCGATGGCGCCCGAACAGGGTCAAAATAGACAGCTGCGCGTCCACTAGACTGACAAATCACTGACTAAGTCTCACTTCAGAATTCATCACCTTCCAAATAAATACAGTGAAATCGACCTTCCTTTGTTTTACATTATCCCACATATTCCTATAAACCAACTGTCAGAGTTTGGATCGGCCCCAGAGCTCTGCAGGCTCAGGCACCTGCTTACATGAGAGATCTGCTGCAGCCCCACATCACCAGCAGGCCTTGCTGGTTGGTCCTCGGTCCAGGATTAAATCTTCTTATTTTATGGTGTTTTAAGTCTGTACTTGCACCTGCACTTGCCTCTGCTCTTGAAAGGTACTATATAAATAAAGTTACTTAATTAGTAGTTTGTAAATGACATCAATGCCATCCAATTCTGTTTTACAGGCTTATTATTTCCTTTTAGACTCACATTAGGACAGGCTTTAGGATTAGGCTTCAGCCCTGTATAAGATTTTTGTAAATTGAATATTCACACAAATTGTCATTCTTTGTACATTATAATATAAACCGAAATTCACTCATTCATTCACATAAAATGTTTTGAATTTCTGTTGCAGTTTAACCCCTATACAAATTATGCACACTATTTTAAAATACTGTTTTGCAAATTATGTTGTGCTACTATAGAGTGTATAGTAAATATAGAGAGAGTATATGAAAGCAGTAGAACAGTGGTGAAAGATGTATTCTTTACTTACTAGTAGAAATACCACTGTGTAACAAAAACTCCACTCCAAGTAAAAGTCCTGAATTCAACATTTTACTGGACACTGTGCTTTAATTAAAAGTACAAAGGTATTATCAGCTAAACAAAACTAAAGCACTCATCCAGCATTATTGTATATCATGTTGTAGTGCTGTATTCTAAGCAGCTGTTCTGGGTGGAGTTTTATATACTGTGGGGAAGATTATCATGTTTTATAGACTAATCATATGTTTTATACTCAAGGAAAGTACAAATAATACCTCAAAACTGTACTTCAATACAGAGATGTTTATTATTTAGTTATTTTCCACCACAGTATCTGTGCTTCGTCATGGTTTCTGCAAGGATTCAATGAATCAAGTGTCATCTTATCTTGTTGAGATTGGACCAGCCTTAAATATTCCAGTCAAGGATTTGGCATTGAAGGAGCTGCATAAAAGCGTGGCCCTGCAGCTGCTCAGGGCCACCCTGCAGAGCTCCTCTCTGTGATGCTTGGCCTGCGCTGAACCAAACCCCTCCGTCAGGGCCCTCTGCTACAGATATGGCTTGGTTTCTCTGTCTGTGTGTGCTTTTTGCCGTGCTGCTGGCTCTGTTAGCGCTGCAGTTGAAGCTCAGGATGTCTGCACGTCACCCCCAGGAGCTCCCCCGTCTCCCAGCGCTGCCTCTGATCGGCAGTCTGCTGAGTCTGCGAAGCCCGCACCCTCCCCATGTGCTTTTTAAAGAACTGCAGGAGAAATACGGACAGACGTACTCTCTGATGATGGGCTCCCACTGTGTCATCATTGTCAACCAGCACACACATGCCAAAGAAGTCCTGCTGAAGAAGGGAAAGATATTTGCAGGAAGACCCAGAACTGTGGGTATGCCTCATTTTCGTTGTCTTCTTCTCAGCAGCAGCTGTAGTCATTGATGTTTTTTTTCCTTTTCCATCCCTGTCCTATGTGTGATGAAGGTAACCACAGATGTTCTGACCAGAGATGGGAAAGACATTGCATTTGGAGACTACAGCGCTACCTGGAGATTCCACAGGAAAATAGTCCACGGAGCTCTGTGCATGTTTGGAGAGGGCTCTGCCTCTATAGAGAAGATCAGTGAGTACAGCTCCCCTCTACGATTCCTCTCACTTAACACGAGGGTTATAAACTGTATACACTTTTCAGGTTGCAGCCCTGACACTTCTGACTTATGGTACAGGTTGTAAGATATATGTCTCTTAGATGTCTGCCTCCAAACCAATACAATAGAGGTGTATGGAATTTAGTTCATACCGCATTAAAAAAATACAGATCATTTCCTCTGAATCTCTAGCAGTCCACATACTCACTGCAAACAGTTTATATTTGAATTACTTTCTACCACAAGTCCCAGTGACAAGTGACTGCAGTCGATTTTAATGTAACTCTTTAACATTTGACGCTGTCATCTGCATTTTAAATTTGCACATACTGCATTAGTTCACCACTATGTAAAGTATTCTACACATGCCTTTTAGAATAATCTAAACAAGAAATAAATAAAGAGAAATAAATACAGTGAATTTGACTGCCCTTTAATTATAATTTAATGTAACAAATCCCTTTAATAAGCTGAGATCACTGAGGAAGATGCTTTATCTTTCTGTCTATCTGTTACTAATCATCTAGTATGAAAGTGTAAAAGCAAGGAAGAATGCAACGTGAAAGTGAGTCTGTGAGGCAGACACAGTGAGATTCCTCCAGAAGGAGCAGATCAGATCATTATCGAGCCATCTGACAATTATTTTCTCAATGAATTAATTTGGTCGATCAGTCAGTAATAAGGGAAAATGCCCATTACAGTCCCTCACAAAGCCCAAGGCGACATATTCAAATTGTGTGCATGGATCAATAAAGTTGTCTGAATTGAATCACACTGCTTCTTCTGTCCCAGTAACACTCTGTTTGATGTCATAGATGTCTAAGGAAACCAAAGCATTCACTCCATCTACCAACAGATTAATCGAAGAATCGTTTCTGTTTGTCTTGAATATTTGGGTTGGATGGCATGACGCTGTATGATTAGGATTATGGATAGAGTTTCCATTTGTTAGTACATCAATGCTCACATGCCAGTGAGTGTTTCAGTGGGTGAAGAACATGTTAAAGATGAAAGTCCCTGCACCATCTCAGATCCATTTTGATAGCCAGTGGTGGAAAGTAACTAAGTACATTTACTCAAGTAAAGTTTGACATATACTTTACTTGAGTAAATGTACGTTCTATTACTTTATGCGTCTACTCTGCCACATTTCAGTGGAATAAAAGTACTTTTTACTTTACTACATTTATTTGACAGCTATAGTTAGAGGTTACTTTTAAGATCAAGGTTTTACATGTTAACTAAATGATCAGTTTTTTAAAATATGATGCATTGTTTTACAGTACATTAAACTACCCAAGAGTATATAAAGTAGTTTTACTACTTTATCCAGTTGCAACATAAAATATACCAAATGCAGTAATAATAATCACACTGACAAGTGTCACTCTGTATAATTAGTACTTTTACTTAAGAACATGTTGCTGCAAATACTTTTTCTATTGTTACTTTTATTAAAGAAAAATATCTGAATACGTCTTTATCCATGGTTGATAGCATTGGAGGGTGGCTGCAGGAAAATTAGGCAACTAAAATGTAAATTGCTCAGTTTGCTCAAGGTGAAGTGTGTGGTGGAGTGTGAATCCACATGTGATGTTCTAGTGAGTATTTGGGGCAGCAGGACAGTGTATGTGGGACTGAGTCTAAATAAACTCCAGTGTGTGTGTTCGTGGTGATGAAGGAACATGTCGAGAGCTCTCCAGAGAGTAAGCATTGTAAACATGTCACTAAGCGGAGATGGTCTGTTGCCTGTGTCCTGCTCAGTCTGTGCAGAGGCCCAGTCTCTCTGCTCCGTCCTGTCTGAGGCAGCAGTTGCTGGACTGGCCCTGGATCTGTCTCCTGAGCTGACTCGGGCCGTCACCAATGTCATCTGTTCGCTCTGCTTCAACTCCTCATACCGCAGAGGAGACCCAGAGTTTGAGGCCATGCTTCGCTACAGCCAGGGCATCGTAGACACTGTGGCAAAGGACAGCCTGGTGGACATCTTCCCCTGGTTACAGGTAGACAACACCAACGCTCTGAAGACAAAACATAGAGCAGAATTGGAATATGGAAGAAATAGGACATAGGAACATACAGGAGATATACAGGAACACCATTAAAAGTGTATCTTGGGTGTTTTTAAACATCAGTGTGTTTTATTAGTGTAATGAACACTACACATTAGTATTGGCATTTGCTTTGTCCCAGTATAAACAACTATATAAATCACATCTCTATTTCTTTGTCACAGATTTTTCCTAATGCAGACCTGTGTCTTCTAAAGCAGTGTGTTGCAATCCGAGACAAACTTCTACAGAAGGAATATGATAAACACAAGGTAAGGTTGGCCTCTTACTAACAGTATGCCCTGTGCTGTCTATAATGAGGTAAAGATTTGATGGTTAATGATTAATGCTGGTTGAGATTTAAGGGCGGTATATACTACAGCTGCTGTAACTATAATATTTTACGTCAGCAGTTATAGGGAAAATTGAGACACTGTTTAAATGGCGAACTTTCAATTAATTCCAATGAATTGGTAATGCAAGCTTCTTTTACCTAAATGAATAGCTGCACTAGTTTAATTACCAAAACTTTGGCAACGTCAGTCTACACCAAGTTAGCTGACATGCAACTTCTGTGCAGACAAGCACACAATTCAACAAATATGGGTGAGGTTTCCAATAAGAAAGCAATATTTACTTTAGTTTAGAGAGGTCTGTTTGTGATTACAGTTTTAACACTTTTTTTAAGGGTGTCCACCCAGCCACGTTACTGCTTTTGTATATCATGACCTGGTTCCTTTCTTAAAAACTCAGATCATTGAGTGGATGCTATATCAGAACTTTGCTTGACTTACAGTTCGTACTAAATAACACAGTGGTCCAGGAAACATACTAGAAAATTATTAAGATTTGAGACCTGTAAATAAAGTGTTACCATCCGTTCTTTGCTGCACAACGTTTTGTACAAATCACTTAAAAAACAGTTAAGACAATATGCTAACAAGCAATCAGACAGAAGGACGGTCCAGCTCCAATCCTGGAGCTCTATCCAAATTTTAAGCAGAAAAACACTGGATAGGAAATATGTGATATTATATATATGGACAATATTGGCCATCATGATCAGCAACCCTGTCAACCAATCCGTCTCAACATACTAATTCCTACGTGTTTGCTTGAAATGATTATGATTGTGATCCTGACATGAATGAAAACGCCATGAGCCACAGTAAACTGTATCCTATGAATTTGCTTGTACTGTTCTTTGAAATCGACCCCCCCAGGCAGACTACAGTGACCATGTGCAGAGAGACCTGCTGGACGCTCTGCTGAGAGCCAAGCGCAGTGCTGAGAACAACAACACTGCAGAGATCAGCGCAGAGTCTGTGGGCCTCAGTGACGACCACCTCCTCATGACTGTAGGTGACATCTTTGGGGCCGGCGTGGAAACCACCACCACCGTGCTCAAGTGGGCCGTCACCTACCTCATCCACAATCCACAGGTAAGGCTGGAGCAGCAGCGTCCAAATGGCCAATCAAAAGTTTCATACACTGTCTCTGGGTGATGGGATGCGTTTGTTTGGCCATCCAGACATTTTGATTGATAATCTGTCTGAATTCAGTTAGAGTTTGGCTTTGTGGCAGGCTTTGTGTAGAGAAGCCAATCATCAATCAAATGCCTACAGCTGCAGTTCCTCTGGGGTCCACTAGATGCTACTCTGACTCTGTTGAAGTGAAGAGTAATTTTATTTCCAGAACAGAAGTTGTGGCTCAGCAGTTGATGTCACTTCTCTTAGTGAGTCTTGGTTATGTTTTTTTAAAGTCATTGTTTCCTTTAAGAGACAATAAAGCTTAAAGAAAGAACCCAAGTGCCTCACTTGGATTTTCAGGCCCAAGTGACTGATGAAAATCACGACGTACGATAATCCGGACTTCCCCACAGAAACCTGTGGATGATGACACAGATCCTCACAATGTCTGTGGCGATATATCTGTACTGCAAAAGACTAGTCGTCATCTACAGTGAGAAATGCCCTCAATGTCTCACTGATAAAATCAAAAGAACCCAAAATCTACTGTACAAAAACAACAACCGCACAAAACTGCTCCAAACTAACTTATAAGGGAAACACATCTGTGGGGAAGGCTCACTTTGTGTATACAAATTGAGATATTCATAGTGCGTCCTGAGAGCTGAATTATTAAGGTGCATCCCACAACATTAGGTGAACATCTGTTGCATGTCATACCCCTCTGTCTTGACCCCTTGGTGCAGAAGATGCATATTTCTGACTGTGTCTGTGTTCAGGTGCAGAGGCGTATCCAGGAGGAGCTGGACATTAAGGTGGGGGGGGACCGGTCTCCCCAGCTCAGTGACAGAGGCAGTCTGCCCTACCTCGAGGCCACCATCAGGGAGGTGTTACGGATCCGCCCCGTGGCCCCTCTGCTCATCCCCCATGTGGCCCTCAGCGACACCAGGTACACTCAACTTCTTGACACTCATTTAGGGCCATTCATTCACCTCTGACAGGATGCAACTGATCAATTAATACAGCGGCAGTTTTGTTATACTGACAAACTGGACGGATTCCAGAGGATTTTGCTCATGATTTAATCTTTACAAAGTTATTTGTTTCATGCACAGAAAATGAAAACGTCACATCGCTGTTCTGTCTCTCTGCTTCTCTGTAGCATCGGGGACTTCACCGTGAGGAAAGGTACTCGAGTCATCATCAACCTGTGGTCTCTGCACCATGATAAGAAGGAATGGAAAAACCCTGAGCTCTTTGACCCTGGTGAGAGGAAGCTTCTGCAAATGTGCCATATTTTAGCCTGGAGTGTCATTGATGGAGCCAATAGGGCTTCTTCTCATGCTGGCTAGGGACAAGGCCAGCTGTGGCCTCGTGCAGATAACTGAAGTAAATGTTTTACTGAGCTCGGTAAAAAACTAGATAATGATGATACAAAGCAATAAGCCACATCTGGCCTCTGTTACTGAGAACATAAGTTGTAGAATGGGAACATGAACTTTTCATTAGCCATCACCAATACTGTTATACTAAGATTAATGGTCTAAATGCAGTAAAATTATGAAACTCAGAGAAAAGTGTCTAGAGATGAGAAGGGTGCTCAGAACGTTTAGCAGCAATTTGTCTTTCCAGAAAAGAAAGTCCTGACTGTTCAAGATAACGCGCATTGTTTCTGGAAAGTTGTTGTATTGAGGTGAAGACAGATATCCCAGATGCTGGACCGATAAAACCAAATGAATAGCTAGATTCCAGTTAGTAGAAAACTAAGTTTCTACTTGATGAATTGATGCTTTAAGATAAAACTGCTGCATGATTCTGGAATGGAAAATTGAACTTGTTTTTTTTTTTTTTACATGTGGACCAAACACAAGCTAGCATCAGCTAGTGAGCCATTAGCACCAGTGTTGGGTTTCCCCCCGTGAAACCCTGAATGTGAGGCTTGTGGTTTTGCTTGTGTGAGCTGATTCTGATTCCCGTGTTCTCCCTCTGCAGGTCGGTTCTTGAACAGTGAAGGCACAGGTCCGATCATCCCGTCGCCCAGCTACCTGCCGTTCGGCGCCGGGATCAGGGTGTGTCTCGGCGAGGCCTTGGCCAAGATGGAGCTCTTCCTCTTCCTGTCGTGGATCCTACAGCGCTTCACCCTCTCTGTCCCACTAGGCCACCCTCTGCCCAGTCTGGAGGGCAAGTTTGGTGTGGTCCTTCAGCCGGCCAAGTACAAGGTGAACGCCATGCCCAGACCAGGCTGGGAGAGAAACAAGTGGCGTGCATGTTGAGATCCGCCCTGCGTTCTCGACAGCAGTGGCTCTCATTTGTGACCTGGGAGGCTTTTTTTTCAAACCAAACACAAAACAGGCAGATGATCAAGCGTGCAGTAGTGAACTGGACATATAACATTTCTTTGTATTTCTTGACAGTATAAAGCAATCTCAACTAACAGTTCCAAACATTATTTATAAATAAAACTTTGGGTCTAATATACAGTATTTGAACAAGTTCTCCTTATTGCCATGAAATACAAAATCTCAGGCTAGAGGATGGCCTACGTACCAGTAGTTCTATATTTAATAGGAAACAAACTACAACATAACTCTGATCCCTGTAGATGCCAGAATCTTTGGGGTAAAGACTAAATACATATATTCTGCAGTTAAGCATCATTTAACGTGTGTCCATTGAGCTGCAGTAAAAAACAACAATACATTATAGAGCACACTGACATTAGTAACTCCACCTTCCACTACAGGAAGGCAGCATATCTGTAGCTTACCTAATTTAAAATGTATTTATAATCTATGACCAGGACATTCTAAGATTATATGATAAAAGAGCCTGTTGCACAATAATAAAATTCTAATAATACTAATAATTTTATTTAGATGGTACCTTCCAAAAACAAAGTACAAATAACGAAACAAAAAAAACAAACTTCAGTTTTTTAAGATAACATTACTTAAGGTAGAACAAAGCACAATCATGCTTTTTTCATAACTTTAATATTCCTAGTTTTTTAAATGAATAGTTGTAGAAAAATATTTTATGGTAAAATTTGTTTATTTGGTTAATGATCCTCCACAAAACCAAAGATGTAGACTTCTTGAAAAGCCACAGCGTCTGCCTTATCACACGTAGCTCTAGAAATAAAGACTGTCACCAAATCTGAACTGGATGTTCACAGAGAGGTTTTGCATTCAAGCCTTTAAAAAGCAGTGACATCTTAATATCAGTTTTAAAACTCACAGGTTACCAGTGGAGGGCAGCAAGGATTGGTTCTCTGAGAAGGTGTTAGAGGTCCAGCAGCAACATTTTGTACAAGTTGCAGTCTTTGGATGGTCGGGTGGATTTGGAGAACCTTGCTGTACCAGCACACACTCCCAGGGAGGAAACTCCTCACTACAATAGATCAAGGAGACACAAACTAGCTGAATGAAACGTGTTCTCCGGACTAACAAAAACAGTTGACGTTCACAGGCAAGTCTCTTCCTTTCTATGGCGCCATTTGTTTTTTAGATCTCACCAAACCTTCAACCTACGGTAATACAGTATTTAAGTAATTTATATAAAAGTACAGAGGTATTGTCAGTGAAAATGAAAAGTACTCATTCTACAGAAAATTGTCCTCTGTGACTGATGCATTATTGTTAATACTGATGCATCAATGTTAGAGCAGCATTTTAGTTGTAGGTAGAGGTGGAGCTAGTTTTAACTACTTTATATACACTTAGCTAGTTTAGTCCAGTGGTTACCAACCTATGGGTTGGGCCCCTACACATTGTCACAAGATAAGTGGGAGAGGTTGTGTAATGATGAATGGGGAGTAATCTGTTACACATTTATATCCATTTTTGGCCTTTGCTTTTTTTCTGAAAGACCCTCATTCAGTTTTTTAAGTGAAAACCATGTGAGAGGTTTAGAGGGAGGATATGTCTTTCGTGGAACTGTGTACAGCTCATAGACATCCGAAACATGACAAGGGGCCACAACTAGACAACGTTTGTAAAGGCTCACAAGCCAAAAGAGCTGGGAACCTCTTCATTGTAATCTTTAACAATGTATCTTATAAGCTAAGCTTTATAAGTGTGTGTGTGTGTGTGTGTGTGTGTGTGTGTGTGTGTGTGTGTGTGTGTGTGTGTGTGTTTGAACATGTAACTTGTAACTATAACTGTCAAATAAAAGCATTGCAGTAAAATGTACAATATATCCCTGTATGAAATGGAGTTAAGTATAAAGTAAGTTAAAGTAGAATTTCTCAAGTACCTCAACATTGTCACACTCAGTATAATGTCAATTTTCCCTGCACAGTCACTCACCACCACTCACAGCTGATCAGAGTTAGTGAATTTTCATTCAGTGTTCAGCTACCATCTATAAACCTAAACATACCCCCAGCATGTTTTGTTAAGAAGACAAACTTAAAACAACTGAGTGGTGAGTACTGTGCCAGCAGGTGGAATTAGACAACAGGTTAACATGGGTTGGATTTGCATTAACAGCCGATTCAAACAGGAGCAGATCAAAAAACAGGGGCGTATGATCAAATACACTGCTCTCATTCATATAAAAGGCAGAAATGCTAAATAATCTTTGGTGATTGACTGTTGAGTTTTACATTGCACATAAATCCATTAGTCCCACATTAACCCTTAAAAAGTGCAAACTGCAATCCTAGGGTGCTCATGTCTCTTAGATACTCATTCATCTGTGGCCCTGATGTGGGCCTGTTAAGGCTTTGGGTATGTACCAGGCTTATCAGCTGCTGCTGCTGTGTGTATATTCTGTCAACGCGTTTTCATGTATTGTAAAGACAAGGGGTGGGCGCCTGAAGCTCGAGCAGTGCGCAGCAGTTTGAAGTGTTTCCGTGCCTCTGCAGTGAGCGACCACCACCATTCATACACCTGTTTTGTTGGGGTATGCTGAGTGACACACGGAGCCCGCCCCCTGCGCTTGTCCTTTCATTATAATTGGCTCGACACTGGCGTGTATGGAAATTTCCCCGCGCGACCCTTGGCTCGCACTTGACCGTCGCCAGTCCGCGGCAGAATGCGCGAGGCCACAGGCGGACAGAGGCTCAGCCGGCAGCACGGACGACAGCTGCTTCCGTGAAGCGGCGGCCGTAGACCCACGTCACTCACCAGCACCTCCCGGGCAGAGGGCGACAACATGCCGCGGTCTTTCCTGGTAAAGAAACATCCCTGCACCAAGAAACCCAACTATGGAAGACTGAACTCCCAGCCTGAGGGTAAGACTCTCTGCTGGCCTCAGCTGGACTCTTTTATTTGATAAAGAGTAACCGTAACGGTCAGAGGAGGAAGGTAACGCTACTCCAGTGATCCTGGAAGTGCAGTTTTGAGGTATAGACTATTTACTTTTCTTTTTTGACTGTTGTTCCAAAATTGGAAAAAATCAAATAGTCTAAAATATTCAAACACTCACATAAACTAACAGAAATTGATACATGCTGTTGTGCTACATGTGCTATGTGCATGTAAATACACATTGAACATGCAGGAGTAACATCTTGAAACAAAGAATGCAGGACTTTGACTTAACATGTAAGTACTCTCACTTCCGAGATGTTCAATAGCAGACGGTCATTAGAGAATATATTTTAGTAGAGATTTAAAAGCTTTTTGACCGAACTGTTTCAGGTTAGAAGTTATTAGACTTTGGAGAAGGCCTATATTTATTCAACTACATGTTTTAAACTCGCACAACTTTCAGAGTTGATATGGTCTGCTTTTGTCTTTGGCTGTTTGCAAAACGATTTAAGGAAAATAAGGCTGCTTAAAGAGAAATGTCACATTTGTCTGGCCACAAACAAAAAATGCAGTATTGTATTTAGCAGGTGCAAAATCCTTACCCAGAGCGTTACAGCATTGTCCCCAGGTCCTTGAGAGACCAGAAGGGCCCCATTAAGCAGCCTCAAGAGCCTATATAGCGGCCTTCCAGGCTCCTCCTGACAAATCCCTCCTTCAACCTTTGTATTTGTTCCAATACAGCCCTTAAAGCGAGCTCAAGCCTTCCCCCTCCCCGTCCCACTGTATTGATGAACTTCCATTACCATCAGAATAGGGCCAAAGAATAAGAGCTGGTAATAAGACTGAAATTATAGGAAAATAAACAGTAAAACAAGTTGTACAAACCTGATGCATGTCCTGCATATTTTAAAACATTGTATCACAGTATTAATATATTGTGTGTGTGTGTGTGTGTGTGTGTGTGTGTGTGTGTGTGTTCTTAAACTCCAATCTTTATCAAAAATAGTTTGAGTTTTGGATCTTTTAAATGAAGACTAGGATTGGAAGTTAAATGCCCTGAAGGTTTCTCCTTAACATTAAATATTAATGACTAAATAAGCAACAGTCATGGTAAGGTTTGGAAAAGAACTCGGGGTGGGCATATAGATACCTAAAGTTTTGTCACTGGCTTGCATAAGTCTTGTTTTGCGTTTGAGATATTAGCATCAAGAGTTTAATTCACCGCTGTCGACAACTTTGCTAAAACAGCCAGTCAAGAAAGTGTGACAACACAAGACTAGACTATTACTGACTAGCCCAACAGAATGAAGGGCAGCCCAGCGGCAGTCTTTCAGTCTTTTATTTCTCAAAGCCAACGTCCAGCAGCCTCTTTCTTGGTCACTCTCTTTTTCTCTTCTTAGTTTCCTCCATCAACGTCCTCTTCAGTCTTTTCGCCTAGTATTAGCTAACGTTATGTCCACAGAGGCTGCTGAGCCCGGGTATGTTTCCCGCTCTCCAGCAACAGCAGCATAAGTTGCTTGAAACTTTGGTGGAAAGCTAGCCAACATAGCTAGCCAACATAGCTAGCCAACATAGCTAGCCAATAACCGACATAAGAGCACAACAACACAAGACACAACAAGCCAGCTAATAGGTTTTTAATGACTAGTCCAACAGCAAGAAGGCCAGCTCAGCATCTGTCCTGCATCCTTTCAGCTCTTTGAGCTCACGCCAAAGAATAAAAGCCAGTCTGATATTTATTCTCTTGTAAATTTACTCTTGACTCTCTCTTTTTCTCTTCCTTGGTTCCTCCAACAACACTTGTCTGCGTCTTCTCAGTTCTTGCAATAGATTCCCTGCCCAGGATGCCATTGCTACAAAGACGCCATTCACCCTATTGCAATTCAGTGCACCATCAAAATGATTTTGAAGCTGTAATGTTAAAAATGTCGCTTTAACATGTATTAGCGTTAAAACACTTGTGCTTTAACATGCATGTGATTAAGTAATTAACAGAAAATATTTTTTTAAATGGCTATTATTTGGCAAATTATTTGGTGGTGATGGAAATATATTTAGACGTAGCTTATTAATGATACATTCACCTCATAAATGACACTTTGTGTACATGAAAGTACATTAGCTGCTTTAAAGTATTATTTAAAATATTGAATCCATGTTTAGACATACTGTATATTCAAAAAAGTGGCCAAAATATTTTAAGTGTAGTTGCTCTACAAAGAGTTCTCTTCATGGCTAGTATACAGAGGAGGAATGATCAAAGCAACCCATAACCTCCACCGACTACTTTAAAGTAGTTATCTCACAACTGTAATAAGCCAAATGTGTGTGTATATTCCACAGAGGCCCCCTGTTGCACCCATGAAGACTCTCTTCTATACAGTGAGATCCTCCCTCACCATCATTGTCCAGCCCAGAGCCCATGGCTAGAGCAGAAAGGCCAGTCTCCCTCCTCCTCCTCCTGTCCTCTTTCTCACAGAGAAGACCGACTGCATCTTCCATCTTCTCCAAACACCTCACCTCTCTCCTTTTCAGGCCACTCTTCAGAGGCGTACAGTAGCATCCCTGTAGAGGCCTACAAACCAGCTGAATCCTGTACCAAAGTGAACCTGGAAATCCAGCGTGCCGCAGGAGACCACAGGAGGAGAGAGAGCCTCCTCCCTTCTTCCCTCCCTCTCCTGGCTCTCTTTCCAGCCATGACTCCTGGCAGCAGCAGCCAGGAGAGCTTGGAGTGTTTGGACTGTCGTAAGGACCTCTTGAGCTTCTCGGGCCTGGCCAAACGCAAGCAGCTCCAGTGTGAGTGGAGCAGTAAGAAGGACTTCAGCTGTAAGTACTGTGAGAAGGAGTACGTCAGCCTGGGAGCGCTCAAGATGCACATCAGGACACACACACTGCCCTGTGTGTGCAAACTCTGCGGCAAGGCATTCTCCAGACCCTGGCTGCTCCAGGGACATATAAGAACACACACAGGTCAGTGAAACACTCACACATTTAAGGATGTCTATTTCTTAAAGGAGCGCTCCACCAATTTGACACATGAATGTCAGTTTTGTGGTCACGGTGATTACTACTCAGTCTGTGAAAACACTTGTTTTCTATCTTCTTTGGCTCTGGGGGAGGTGAGGCAAGTCTGGAGGAAACAACCCTGATGATGCCATAGTGACGTCATCAGGGGCTTGTAGACTTTTTATTACAGATAGCTGTGTTACCAAACACAGGCGTGACACTTGAAAGCGGTGTGTACCTTTTTATATACAGTCTGTGGTCTATACGACTAAGGGAGGGTCTAACGAGGAGATGTAATTGGTTGCATTATGAGGAATGTAGGACCGAGGGTTTTTGAATCATGCGCAAGACTAAAAGTCTGGATATCTCTGCTGCTTTCATTTGTGACATTTAAAACAATCTGTCTGTTTTGAACCCCCTAACTTTATGGTAGTGCGATACCAAATCAGTGGAGTATTGGAAAGCTTTCTCCCCTTCTGTTAACTTGTGCTTATGCAGTCAGAAATAGTATAGTATAAAAATAATATAAATTACAAATACCAACCTGTCCAAGAGCAGTATCCCAACATCATGTCTGCCCTCAGCGTTCTCCAACAAGGAAAAGCTCCTCCAATGGTTATCCGTGTTTGTCCTCGCTGTCGATCGCTGTCTTTTTCGCCGTAATTTTACAAGCAAGGACCACGCCACAACAATATGGAATTTAGAGGTTTACGGAAAACTTGGAATGTATATATGATAGAGGACGCATTAATCCATGTGGAAGCGGAAGGGTGATGGTGGAAGAAAGATGTCGTCTGATAGGCAGGTCTGGGAAGGTGGACAGAAGACAGGGCGGAGGAGACCCAGTGTGGGGGTCCCTTCTTGGAAGTGTTTTCGCCCGCTTATAGCGGGCCCCCCAGACAGTACCGAATGAGAAATGAGAGAGATGTGTACCAGAGTGAATAGGAAGGGATGAGGGGATGGAGGGAGGGATGCGGGGGACTGTGAATGTATGAAGGGAAGGGACAGGGAGGGCGGGTCTGGAGTAGTCTGAGACAAACAGGGCAATTTTCTTCATTTCTTTTTTATATGGAGACAGAGAAACTTTTCTTGGAGATTTCTTTTTTGTTTCCGCCCCAGGCTCTACTATAATCCTAGTTGCTGTAGCTACTCCAGCGCTACGGTTGCTCCAGAGGCTGGAATATGGTTGTGGTTCTGTGGATTACTACAACCCCCTGTCACTATGACTGACATGAATCTCTATGGTCCTTTCCGCAGGAGAGAAACCGTTCTCGTGCCTCCACTGCAGTCGAGCTTTTGCAGACCGATCCAACTTGCGAGCTCACGTCCAAACCCACTCTGAGGTGAAAAAGTACCAGTGTGCAAGCTGCTTCAAGACCTTCTCCAGGATCTCGCTGTTGGCCAAGCACCAAGAAGCAGGCTGCCCGCTGTCCTGACTGCCTGCGGACGTCAACCTGCTCCAGAATACCCTTTTGTAGAGTCTGAACAACAGTGTTTTTGGGACAGTGTCAAAAGACCCGCTAGGATCTTTGCATAACTGTGTGTGGCTCATGAAACCACATGCCTGAGCTGAGTAAAAAAGCTGCGTTATGTGATGACACTTTGATGACAGCGTTGTTTTTTTTTTCCGAAGACATCATTTTCTATTATCTCTAATGTCCCATCAGAGACCACATCCTTAGTTACCTAAGTGTATATGACAAACAAACGATTTTTTTATTAGGCTAGGTTTCCAGTGAGTCAGTAGAAATGGAACAGCCACACGGGTATGTTGATGTTTTGCTCCTTTTTCCTGGTAACAGTGACGTTGGCTGACTGACTAGCACTAGTACTTTCAGTTAGGCCAAGGGCCCACTACACTGTCTCAGTCATTATAGAGTGTTGTCCAGAGATACAGTGTATTTTACAAAAAAAGTGATTTAATGCCAAATTCCAGCGGTAGACGTGCTACAGGTATTCAGAACGCGTCAGGCTTCTGTCTCATCAGCTGGAGTAGCAAGTACCAGACTCAGTATTCAGTTACATTAAGTTAGTATTGAATCACATCAAGATTATGATATACTTTATATAGTTAAACAAAACTGCATTTTGTTTGAAATAATCCTAAGGTGTCTGGTTGAAGTACTGAAAAAACTTCAAGTTAGCTGTTAAAACACTGCAATGTTAAATTGTATATTTTTGTATTGAAAATGCTTGTTCAATTGATTAAAAAAATCCTGACCTTTTCTTTACTTGTTTCAGTGTGTAATAACAGACAGATAATGTTGGTGTTAGTAAGGTCACAGACAGAAAGGCATTTTTACACCAGAGGTGATAAATCCAAACTTCATTTTGGTGTAAACAAATACAATTTCACATTCATTCTAACCACAGTTCATTTTGTGTCTCTTTAATGAGAGACATTTAGAATGCATTTCATATAAAACACCTGCTCAACTTTTTTGCTCGCTCATGCATGTGTGTGCGATGTGTTGTGAGCCTGTAGAGCATGAACACTGCTTTGCAGCACCACAAGTGGTCAAACAAAGACTCCTATCCTTACAAAAGGTCAGTTTAGAACCTCATTAAAAGTTATTCCACTATCTGATTTCTGTGGCAGCTGTTGACAGGGTGGATATGAAAGTTGTATGTAGTTATTTAGAACTTAAAAAAAATTAAATGGTAATCTAATATATTTTAAATAAAGATGATGGGAACGCAGTCTGCCACTTCAATGCATACAGGTAAGGTGGGCCTGTGAGACTATAATATACCAATATAAACTAAAGATGGACTCAAGTGGTTTTTCATGACTATCAATAAGTCATTTGGTAGGGCTACTAATGAATCCTGTGAGCTTTATAGAATACCTTGTGGAAGCCAGTGATGTCATACTGTCATCAGGGTTAGCTCAGCTTGGCCTTGGTCTCCAGGAGAGGAGGATCTAAAGAAAATATGCTGTTGGTTGCTTTGTGGGAAATGTAAGATCCAGAGTCTTGACCCATAAAGTCATTGCAGCAAACGGTGAGCCTAAGCCTCTGCGGCTTTGAGTTTAACAATTCTTTTTCTCATGAGTCCCCCAACTTCATGGAAGTGAAATATTCTATATACATCTCCTAAAACCTTCATGTTCAGTACCCCTTTAATAGCTAGTAGTGTGTTGACTCGTTTACAGTCATTTGATCCAGTATCAACATCAAATATATTGTGACAAAATCTCACTAGATTGTCCCCGATGGATCTCACAGCCAATAAAATCCGAGCATCCCTGTGGAGTTTGCTCAGTTGTCATGGAGATGGCTCAGTCACATGATGAACGGGGAGGAGGCACATCTGATGTGGTCGGTTATTTTGTCATACTGCTTCTTCCAAGGTCAAGAAATGAATATCCTACTCAAATGAAACACATTGCTTAAGTAGTAAATCCATCCATCCATCCATCCCTCTTCATCCACTTATCCGGGGTCGGGTCGTGGGGGCAGCAGCTCCAACAGGGGACCCCAAACTTCTCTTTCCCGAGCCACATTAACCAGCTCTGACTGGGGGATCCCGAGGCGTTCCCAGGCCAGTGTGGAGATATAATCTCTCCACCTAGTCCTGGGTCTTCCCCAAGGCCTCCTCCCAGCTGGACGTGCCTGGAACACCTCCCTAGGGAGGCGTCCAGGAGGCCCAAACCACCTCAACTGGCTACTTTCAACGCAAATGAGCAGCGATTCAACTCTGAGCTCCTCGCGGATGGCCGAGCTTCTCACCCTATCTCAAAGGGAGACACCAGCCACTTGCTTGAGGAAACTCATTTCGGCCGCTTGTACCCACAAGCTCGTTCTTTCGGTCATGACCCAGCCTTCATAACCATAGGTAAAGTTAGGAACGAAATAGGTGAGGGTAGGAACGAAAATTGACCGGTAGATCGAGAGCTTTGCCTTACGGCTCAGCTCTCTTTTCGTCATAACGGTGCGGTAAAGCGAGTGCAACACTGCCCCCGCTGCTCCAATTCTCCGGCCAATCTCCTGCTCCAATCTCCCCTCACTCGTGAACAAGACCCCGAAGTACTGGAACTCCTTCACTTGGGGTAAGGACTCATTCCCTACCTGGAGTTGGCACTCCTTTCCAGGTTCCAGTCAGGTTTCCTTTGATTTGAGGTTCAACTATCGGCCGAATTCTCTCCGTTCCAGCACCTTGGTATAGACTTTACCAGGGAGGCTGAGAAGTGTGATACCCCTGTAATTGGCACACACTCTCTCTCTTTTTGAACAGGGGAAACACCACCCCAGTCTGCCACTCCTTGGGCACTGTACCTGACTCCCATGCAATGTTAAAGAGACGTGTCATCCAAGACAGCCCCTCCACACCCAAAGCTTTTAGCATTTCTGGGCGGATCTCATCAATCCCTGGGGCTTTGCCACTGTGGAGTTGTTTGACTACTTTAGTAACTTCCACCAGGGAAATTGACCAGAAACCCCCATCAGCCTCCAGCTCTGCCACCACTAGAGAGGGCGTGTCAGTCGGATTTAGGAGTTCCTCAAAGTGTTCCTTCCACTTCTCCCACACCCGCTGCTTTGCATCTGCCACAGCAGAGGCTGCAGCTCTTCGGGCCTGTCGGTACCTTGCAACCACCTCCGGAGTCCTCCGAGACAACAAATCTCGGAAAGCCTCCTTCAGTTGGACAGCTTCCCTGACCACCGGTGTCCACCACGGTGTTCAAGGGTTACCGCCCCTTGAGGCACCTAAGACCTTGCGACCACAGCTTCCCACTGCGGATGCTGGAATGGAAGCTTTGAACATTGCCCACTCATGTTCAATGTCCCCAACCTACACAGGGATCGCAGAAAAGTTGCTCAGTGGGGCCGTTCCTCCTGATCACGCCTTTCCAGGTATTTCCATCATTGCCCACATGCGTATTGAACTCTCCCAGCAGAACTATGGAGTCCCCTACTGGAGCCCCATACAGAACTACATTCATGGTCTCCAAGAAGGTAGAATACTCTGAACTGCTGTTTGGTGCATATGCACAAACAACGGTCTGAGTTTCCCCCCCCACTACCCGAAGGCATAGAGAGGCGACCAACTCGTTCACCGAGTAAATTCCAACGTAGCGGCACTCAGCCGGGGGCTTGTGAGTATCCCCACACCCGCCCAACGCCTCACACCTTGAGCAACTCCGGAGAAGAATAGGGTCCATCCCCTATGAAGGAGTACGGTTCCAGAACCGAGACTGTGCGTGGAGGTCAGCCCCACCAGATCTAACTGGTAGCGCTCCATCGACCACACAAGTTCCGGCTCCTTCCCCCACAGAGAGGTGACGTTCGACGTCCCCAGAGCCAGCCTCTGCTGCCCAGGTCTGGTCCTTTGAGGCCCCTGACCTTCACCGCCACCCATGTGGCAGCACAGCCGACTCCTGTTGATCTTCCTATGGATGATGGACCTGGGCCTCTGCTGCCCAGGTCTGGTCCGTTGAGGCCCCTGACCTTCACCGCCACCCATGTGGCAGCACAGCCGACTCCTGTGGATCTTCCTATGGATGATGGGTCCAAAGGATGGAGATGGGGGTGCCACGTTGCTTTTTCAGGCTGTACCCAGCTGGACTCAAGCCCTCCCTCTGGGCCTGGCTCCAGACCGGGGGCCCCGGGCTTCCTCCGGGCAGGGTCTCTCCTCCTGTTCCTCGTATTTTCATCAGGCATCTTTATGAACCATTCTCAGTCTGGCCCCTCACCTGGAACCACTTTCCCTTGGGAGACCCTACCAGGAGCACTAGGCTCCAGACAACACAGCCTCCAGGCTCACTGGGGCACACAAACCTCTCCACCACGATAAGGTGATGGTTCCCGGAGAGGTAGTAAATACAACAATTATTAAAAATGTCAAGCCATTCAGTATAAATGTACAATATATATAGATATTCAGTTCAATTAATTAAATCTTATTTTTATAGCATTAATATATATCATAAGTTATCTCATTGCACTTTTCATAGACCAGGTCTAGACTGTACTCTGTGTAGTATTATTTACGGACAGGGATGGCCATTATTAATTACTTGTGATGACATCATAAAAATGCTGCACCTGATTGGTGCCTACTCAGTAATTTGCCCAGACCAGATGGTCATGGTGATAAACGTGTAGGTTTCCAGTTTTAGCATAAATTGCTACAATTCTTATGGTTCATTTGGTGTTAATTTTAGTAGCATTTATTGGCATTATTTAGGATAAATTGTTTACCAATTTATGTCATGTTCTTGCTAACTATTTGAAATAATAGCAGCTCTCATACTAAGCTATAGCTTGTTGCTTTCAGCTATTGTTAAGTTTTTGTCGGTTTGCACAAAAATAGCATTTACAATGCCACTGGATGGTGTAACTTGTTATATTGCACACCTTATTGCCAATAACAATATTGTGCTGCAATGCCATTAAATAGCAGGTTGTTAACCAATTCACCACTGGTGTTTGTTGCAGCTCAGATGATGCAAAGCAGGCCCTTCATTACAAAACATCAACTAACTTCTGTAAATTAGGATACAATTATGAGTCTTTAGAAAAACTGTTGTTCTCAAACATTGGTCACTTAATCAGCTTAGTCAGTGTACTGGTGAAGAGAGAGATCACATAGGCCAATAGATAAAACGTTTGTAAAGTGATTTCCTGG